AGACACCACATACAGCAGACTTTAATAGTAATCAGTGGGTTCTCTCCAGTACAGTGAAAGACTTCGAAATGATGTCTGCAATGAAGATGAAGTTAAACCCTATGAATGCGGTAAGATATTCATTATTGTAAAACAAATACAAATACAAGTCGGGCGCTTCAGTTTTTAGTAATAAATCTATGCAGAGAAGGGTGAAAAAAGGTGTTGCCCCCACACCTTAAGAAAAATAGAAAAATAACACCAACTACAAAGTGTAAAAAACACAGAGTGAGAGTGTACCCTTCAAGCAAGATATAAATATAAAGTAAAAAAACACTTATGCATATATATGAATGGCAGGATGGTCATAAACAATGACTAAAAAACAATAACACAAAACATAGTGTATACTGCCAAAATACAAGTGAGTATAGATGAATAATTGGTTCAACTCACAGATTTCAGAGCCGTGCCAGGCCCTGTATAGAAAGCCCAAAAGGTGCCTAAACAGGCTAAAAACGAATGACCATGGACCACTGGAATCAGATCACAGATCCTCCCTCCCCGGTCCGCAGGCACTGTGCTGGCGGCCGGCGGTGGAGGGAGGGAGAGGGAGGAGAGAGGACCCAGGAGCTCCGGGTCCTCCTCTCGCGAGATTTGGAGCGTTGCCGCGGTTACCACGGGAGCGCGGGCTAGAGTTCACTGTCCCCACTGGGACCACCAGGGAATCACCACTGCGACCACCAGGGAACGAAATATGTCCCCCCTCCTCCTCAATAAAGATAAGAAGGGAGGGGGGACATAGAATATTTATTTATTTTAATTAAATAAATAAAAATATATATTATTTTTTTTAAAAAAGAAGCCCCCTTACCCTTATCACACACTCTATACACATACACCCCCATACACACACACTGCCCCCCATACTGCCCCCCATACACACACACTGCCCCCCATACACACACTGCCCCCCATACTGCCTCCATACACACACACTGTCCCCATACACACATTGCCCCCATACTGCCCCCATACACACATACTGCCCCCCATACACACACATACACACACATTGCCCCCATACACACACATTGCCCCATACACACACATTGCCCCCATACACACACACATTGCCCCCATACTACCCCCATAAACACACACAGCCCCCATACACACATACTGCCGCCCATACACACACATTGCCCCCCATACACACACATTGCCCACACTCACACATACACTGCAATACTCACACACACACTGGAACTGTTACACACACATACTGTCCCACACATACACTGCATCCCTGACATACACTGCCGCCCTCACTCACATACAACAACCTTCACACACACACACTGCTCACACACTGTCCCCCTCTCTCTCACACACACACACACACACACACATACTGCACCCCTTATACATTGCACCACTCACACACACCACTGCTCATATGCCCTACTACAGACCCATTTCCCAGCAGACCTCAGGTAAGTTGTCAAACTGTTCTTAAACGGTATGACTACTTACTCTGGGAGGGGGTCCCGGCACTATTGACACCATAACCACTACACTGAGCTGTAGTGGTTATTGTGTCTGGATTATTTCTTTAAATAATCTACAAGTGCCCCTCCCGAGATCAGGCTCTGGATCCGCCACTGAATGCAGTGGCATCTCTGCCTCATAGTCACCTTATTTAGATGAAATGATTTTGCTGCTTAGTTTTTAACTTTTACTTTTTCAGTTGTTGAACTATTTATTACTGAAATGTAAATGTTAGAAAGTAAGGCTCTGTGGCCCATAGGGTTTAACATGCCCTTGTATCATATCTGATTTTTTCCTCGAAAAACCTTCTGGGACATTTGCTCGTTTAAGCAGGGTCCTCAGCACCTTACATCCAAATTGTCTTGTTGCAACTAATTGTGTGTTAGTCCACCTATTGTACCACGCTGCAGAATTTTGGTGGCGCTTTATAAATAATCCTAATAATCTCAACTGTATCAGACGTTTTGCTAGTGCAGGTTTTACACATTCAGTATGGAAGTAGTAATGATTAGAATTGGATACTCAGCCTCACATAGAATCCTATGCCAAGAATGGAACTGAAACAAAATAGAATTGCTGCAATTTGCGTCTTCTTGATGAGAAAAAGACTGTACTGTAATTAGGGCTGAGTTCGCACATACATGTGAACAACATATCAGTGGATTCCTTTAGACATAGATCTCCACGCTTCAGCAATATTCATCATGAACACCTGGTTACTGATTAAAGCACTGGAAATGTATTTATCACTTTTTTCCCCCTCTAGAATTTGATGCCTTGGGATCCCCCGTTTTATGCTGGCATTGTGCGTGCAGAGAAGTAAGTAGTGTTCTACATTCCATGTATGCAAAGGATTAGAATGATCAGTGCCTTAGAATGTTAGAAAAGATTGCTAAATTAGTTTCTTTTTTTCTCCATGTACCAAAGGGTTGTACTATATTTTTAATGAAATTGTTCTCTTTATAAAGTGGCATCAAGTCATGTTAACATTAATAAAACAAACATTATTTGTGCAATAAATTGTTGAATAAATATTTTTTGTTTTGTGTAACCCTCATAGTAGTGTCCCATTGGCCACCCTCTCCCCTACCCCCATCGGCCCCTGGCGCCACTATGGTGGGGAGCAAGAAGTTCCTAAGCAGTGTATGTGTTCGTCCTGAACAGTAACTTTTGTCATCCAAACGATTTCACTTTGATGTATACATCTGTTCTTTATTTGGTAGCGAATTGTTTTGATATGTTATCATGAAATATGAATACAGAATTTTGCAGGTCATAGCTACCGAGCTCCTCGGCTTCACACCGGTTTAAAGGGGCACTGTAAGTAGCATAACTTCATCAGTGTACAGTAATGGTTCTGGTGCTTTAAGTCATCTGACCAAAAGTGGAGCTAATGCGGAAGACTACTTCTACAAAAGCCCACAATGATGGGTGGCAGGAAAGCAGTAATTGAGTTGTTTGACATAGTGTGATAGCCCCAGAAACGTTCGATTATTATCACTACAATGAGATGTAGTTGGTATGGTGCTTGTTTACATATTTACATTCTAACAAATGGGTAACAGGTGGGCTGGGGGTACACAGAGCCTTGCCTGTCACTCTGTGTGGAGGATCTCCATTATCTTCTATCAGGTCTAAGTGGAGGATAATAAAGCTCCTCTACCGTGTACCCTGTATCCTCAATACAGAAAAGTACAAGTTTGGGTACAGCATTGAAATCTTTAGTGGATCATCATTGGTGACAGCTATTGGGGTTGGCTCTTACTCGGCCTTGAATCTAGGAAAGTCCAGCAGAGGAGAAATAGAGACAAAGTAGTTCCTACCTTGATTCCGTATATCTCTTGACTGTCTTGGAATTGACTGAAATTCTATTGTTGTGAAATACTCATTCTTCGAGGGGAATTTGATATTTTAGGTGGGTGCGGACATACAGTTTTGACTCTGGCCATGTAATCCAATTACGCTTCTGCGTGCTAATGTTTGTTTAGAATACTCTTAATAATGTAGATATGGCATGTATACCACTTACTGTATTATTAATCTGTCCCTTATTGTATTGCTATTGTTAATCTATGTAACGCACCTTGCATAATAGTGCAATATAATACATTAATAATAAACATGAGTTTTATCTGACTGCAGAGGGCGCTCACATGTAGAAAATGAGTGGCAAAAATGCTGTGCTGCTAAATTGTATTTATTTTTTACATTTATTATAGTATACCGATAACAAGTAGTGGGATTCAAAAATTATAGTAACCAGTTCTGACTTTTCATATGTTTCCAACTCCACCGGACCCACCTCCAGTCATGCACACACTCACTCACAAGCACACTGATACAGTCACACATATATACCATGGGGGATCAAGAAAATGCTATTAATGTATTAAATGCATAAACCTTGTATTTCAAGTGAGTGTACAGTAAACGCATAAACCTTGTATACCATGCCAATGATCAGCAAATACAAAAATTAGGTATACCACGACGATTATCAATAAATATATAAACTTGATATTTCATGCAAATGAAAAGTAAATGCAGAAACTTGGTATACCATGCCAATGAAGCAATAAATACATAAACTAGGTATATCATGACAATGAGCAGTAAATACATAAATCATGAATATCATGATAGTAAATTGTGTGTGTGAAGGGGAATTGGGGCAGCGGATTATGTGTGAAAGGGACATGGGGCGGCAGGGTGTGTGTGAGGGAGATATGAGGCAGTAAGGTGATTGTGAGAGGGACATAATGTGGCAGTGTGTTTGAGGGGGACAAGGGGCGGCAGTATATGTGAGGGGAACATGGGGTGGCGGGGGGGTGCAGAGCAGGTGCAAGGATTTTTGTCTACACAGACAAAGACGCCTTTTGCCGACCACAAATTTCGTCTTCATCTGTCTGCCTAATATCCTCCTTTTGCCCCTTTTAGCCATCCTTTTGTGTATCTTGCCACCTTTTTCTTTCTCCTTTTCCTTTTTGCATATTGTATCCCCTGTTTGTCATTCTTTTAATGATTTGTGTCTTTATCCCAATGTTCTGGTCTCTTAACGCGCTCTTACACACACACACACACACTCATAGCCAGTCCAAACACTAATAATTTTCTATCTATTCCTTCTCCCCCCCCTTCTTTTCCCAATTGTCTAAACCCTTCATGTCCCTATCTACCTATTTCTCAATCTCTGGCAGTGTTTCATATCTTTTTTTAATTACTTTTTTTTTTTCCTGCTCTTTTTTCCCCCAAAATGGCTGGGATCTGCATCCTGCTGCCAACTGCCGGGAAAGCCAAGGGCCACTGAGGGGCCAGTCTTATAGCAGACACATTTATGGCAGAGACCATGGGTAGCAGCAGAGTTAGTGGCTGAGGCACAGAGAGACACCTGTACGTTTTTGGAGTCTGTCTCATTACTCTCAGGCAGAGTAACTCCCTGCCTAAGAGTAATGAGTCTGAGACTCCAGAGCTAAATGCCTCTGTAAATCTAAACAAATGGGAAGCTCCAACTTGCAGGACTCCTTCCCCTCACCCTTCAACACCCGAGCCCACCTTTACAGCACTTATCAGACCATCCCAGATTACTGAGGTGGCATGATCTGTCCTCACCCACATGCAAAGCTTGGAGAGATCATTCCCGCTCTCCACTCATGCGGGAAACAGCGCACAGGAGTGAAAGCAGGTCTGTGCCGGAAGAGGCTCAGTCCTGCACGCACTCCTGAGCACTGCATTTAAAGTGGTATGGCTCCTCTGGTCCGCGCCAGTTCGGCGAACTTGTTAAATTTTAGCTGATAACCGCTAGCCACAAGTGAATTGTAAGAAAAACTGGCCTTGGTTATTTATCACAACTTTGCTCCACATCACATATGGAATCCTCAAATGTCCTTTCTCTTGTTAAAGATAATTATTTAAATAGCTGAACCTTTTTTTTTTTTCTGCCATCTACTTCAAACCCTGTTACACAACTCCATTCCTTGTAGTATGACCACGCACAGAAATATTCATGATTATTCAAGAAACAATCTGCATAAAATAAAGCCATTATTATAAATAATATTTTTTTAAAGTTAACGAGTTGGCATGTTCCATGTTATTCTGCAGACAGCGTTTTGGTGTGAGCAGGGTTTTATGTCTGGTCACACCAGGGACACTCGATCGATACCCAGGCCCCCCCCCGTCAGCTTTAATTGTGATTCTCTAGATGAAAGCACTCCGAGAGATCCCCAGGATCTGAAAAGAAACTGATGGGGTCTCATTGCATAAACCCCTGCTGTCTGTGTTGAGTGTTGATCTTTGTCAGCTGCCCAGCATCAATAACAATGTGATGGCAGGGACAGCATACCAGCAGCAACTTTTAGGTATGTGCAGGTTTAAATAGATGCTTACGCGAGGAGACCCAAGCATCTATCGATACCTGGGGCTCTCCTCTGTCAGCACGGATAATACTTAGTGGCCACAGACTGACAAATGAACTGCATGAAAAGTGATCTCTGTATAGGACCCTTTACATCACTGTGACTTGGCCATGGTGATTCTCTGGCTGTCAGAACCTGACAGGATCTCCCTGAATCCCCCTGGGGAGTTTTGGGAAAGAAGTGTTGTATGCAAAACTTTTACCTTTGTTACAAGGAATTATTCCCTAACCTTTAAGTGTATGTATGTATATGTATGTATGTATATATATATATATATATATATATATATATGTATGTATATATATGTGTGTGTGTATATATGTATTTATATTAAGATTTGTATATAAAAAATATTTCCATAGATTCCTTAATATCACAGTTCCTTTCTGGAGCAACGATTTCTGAAACCTTGTCATTTCTGAAACATTTTGTTAGTTCACTGACAAGTTATTACAAGCACTGAATAATACTTGTTTGGTTTTTTTATTGTGTGTTCATTTGCTAAAATGGCTGCTCATGATTCTATATATTGGTTTTGAACTATAGACCCCTTGATTGTATTAAACCAAAAGTGTGTAAACGGGAAAGCACCTTTATCCTGAACAAGCTGATCCAACTGGATGAGTGTCTACAAAATGTGTCCCTCCATAATCCTCAATGGTCACTATTTTACAGCAGTAATGGGATTTTACTCCCCAACACATGAATGAAAGATACCTAGAGCTCTGATGGGATCTTGCCACATACCATGCAAGAAAGCTATATAGAGCCATGACAGGATCTTACCACATACCGTGTGAATCAACGCTATCTAGAGCCATGATGGGATCTTGCCACATACCATGTGAATGAACGCTATCTACAGCCATGATGGGATCTTACCACATACCATGTGAATGAACGCTATCTAGGCCATGATGGGATCTTGCCACATACCATGTGAATGAACGCTATCTAGGCCATGATGGGATCTTGCCACATACCATGTGAATGAACGCTATCTAGGCCATGATGGGATCTTACCACATACCATGTGAATGAATGCTATCTAGAGCCATGATGGGATCTTGCCACATACCATGTGAATGAATGCTATCTAGAGCCATGATGGGATCTTACCACATACCATGTGAATGAATGCTATATATAGAGCCATGATGGGATCTTGACACATAGCATGTGAATGAACGCTATCTAGAGCCATGATGGGATCTTACCACATAACATGTGAATGAACGCTATCTAGAGCCATGATGGGATCTTTCCACATACCATGTGAATGAACGCTATCTAGAGCCATGATGGGATCTTGCCACATACCATGTGAATGAACGCTATCAAGAGCCATGATGGGATCTTGCCACATACCATGTGAATGAACGCTATCGAGAGCCATGATGGGATCTTGCCACATGCCACGTGAATGAACGCTATCGAGAGCCATGATGGGATCTTGCCACATACCACGTGAATGAACGCTATCGAGAGCCATGATGGGATCTTGCCACATACCATGTGAATGAACGCTATCGAGAGCCATGATGGGATCTTGCCACATACCATGTGAATGAACGCTATCGAGAGCCATGATGGGATCTTGCCACATACCATGTGAATGAACGCTATCGAGAGCCATGATGGGATCTTGCCACATACCATGTGAATGAAAGCAATCTATTGCAGTTATGAAATCGTACCACACATCATGTGAATGAAAGATATCTAGATTGGTTATGAGATCTTACCACTTGTCAAATACATGGAAGACAGAGGATCATCGGGAATGTTTTTTACGAACCATTAAGGGTGCCATGGTTGGCTATACATGATTAAAATTGGCTTGCTGTGATTATATTTTTTTTCATGGTGAAGCGAGAAAAGGCTTTTTTTTTATTTTTTTTAATGCACAAAAATGTGCAATAATAAATAATCTTAAAAAAACTGCTCCTGAAGGAACACAGACAGGCAGAGAGAAAACCAAACGTTCAAAAGAGATCATGTAGTGAAAAAGGAGAGAACGATTCTTTAATGAGTTCTGTAGCTCTGCTTATTTTCCTTGTCATTTTTAGCAACTTATTCTAGCTGCAATCTTCTAATCCTGTAAATGCATGTTTGACATAATCTGGAGGCAGACATTCAGTACTGCTAATACCAGTGTCATCTGAAAGATACAGTAATTGTGGGGCCTCAGGACTGCTGACAGCAAAATCTTATGATTGATGAAAACTATCATTTGCATTCCAGTAAGTATAATCTCAAATTCTCAATGAGCAATGTACTCCCCCCATAATTCTTTTTTTATTTTTTTATTTTTATTTATTTATTTTTTTAGAATTTTGAATATCTTCTTTGATTATCATGTGTAACGCAGTGTTTCACAACAGTAAAAGCATTTAATGTATCAGACCGCCCTGATCTTTAAATGTCTTAATCCTCAAGTGGTGACATTTAATGAGAAACTTTACTCACCTGTACCTGAAAATATTGACTTATATGGCCTTATCGAAACTAAAAGTGACAATCTTGTATTATGTTGCTTATTTGTCTTCACAATATCCTCTATATTCTCCACGATTTGCCAAAACATTCTGCAAATCTTCCTATTCGTTCATCCACAGGTTTTGTTACATCATTTCCCCTTTCCTCTTTTAAAGGTTTCCTGCCCTCTTCCGTCTCTCCATGAGCTATATTCCAAAAAACCACCTTTTGTCTTTCTACCGTTGTTCTTTACCTGCTTTGCTTTAATTTTAAATTGATTTTGCTTCCTTCTTGTGGTCTCAAAAATGGCCTCTCCATTTTTCCACCTTCTATTACAGCATGCAAGGAAAATGAGATCTGGTTTAATAAAAAAAAAAAAAAAAAAAATCTTTCCTTCAAGATTCCACACAATTTTTAAGTACAACAGACACTTTGCACTCCAGGCACCAAAGGTTGTAGTTCATCTGTTGGCTTTATGCGGCTAACAAATAGAGAAAAAAAATTAATATACTGCATGGTAAATCTGTGTAGATGAATGTATGGAAGTTAATTACTTCAGCAAATGGAAACTCTCAAAATAGCATGGGTCTAAGGATCTCCAACAAACTGGAGAAGGAGGATTCCTCCGGGACCTGAGAGTAAAACACCAAAATCATGACCGGGTCCAAAAATATTTATTACAGTAAAGGAGCAATTATTTACATGTAAGTGAATAAAAATCTTCAACAGCAAACCGGATGGGAACACAGCAATATAGATACATGATGTTGCACAACGCGTTTCGACCTTTAGTCTTCTTCAGGGGCTCTGTAGAACATTGCCTACTCATCCATATATATACTTCTATTCAATTAATTTTCGTGCCATTCAGTGCACTTCTGGGATCGTGCCGACCTCAAGCGTAACTTGTGTATCCGGCATCCATAATTTATTATTTCTGGAATTTAGCTTTTTATTTGCATCGTTTTCAGGCTTTACTAAATGTACCATCCGGTGCACATTCGTGTCAGATATAATCAATTCACATTATTTGGAGTCTATTGTGTGTATGTATACATGTGTATATTCTTGTTTTTGCTCTCTCCAAGTTAAAAGAATAATCCAGACGTGGACCTCATGCTTACTGTGCCTAGAGAGGTATCTGCTACACCTCGCTGACGAGGCCCAAAGAAGGCTGAAACCATCGTCTGGGGTTGCTGTATCTCTCGTGCAGAGGGAACTTGCTGGCATTTCGGTTCTGGACTGCCCGTATGGTGGGACCAGTGTGATATGCTTCAGATATGTTCTCTCTGTAATGGCACAAGTGAGAAAAATATTTTACGACCTGAGCAGGGATATACCGAAGGGCAAGCTAATGAGTTTCTCTAAGCTTTTGTCCGTTCTCAGAGTTCTCATATTCTGTTTTTTTGCGTTAAAATAAATAAATACTCATAACGAAGGAACTTAAAGGAAGGAAGTTAAAATGTAAAAATTGCAATAATATACTATTTAAAAATCTATATTTAGTCCCGTTGGAGAGAGTGTTTCAGTCTCAAAAACCCATCTTCTTTCTGCTTGTTATAATTGTTTAAAGGAACACAGACATGTATTCCTGAACCTATAATGTTATAACCACCATTAAAGTGACTTGCCTCCCCCCTGCACCCTCCATAGCCCCCTTCAAAGCTTATAAAACTTGCCTTATTTCCCGCACCGCCCCAATCCGCCTCCCTGCTGACATCAGAATTTATGATTTCAACCAATCCAATGCTTTCCCATAGTATATATGTATATGCACTCCGCATCCTCCGTTAAGGCTCCACGCGGAAATTGGTAAACCTTTTAAATAGTAAAGAATATTAACCATGTATACCTTGGTCTTCCAATAGCAAGACTAAGGTATACTGGTCTCATGTCATACCTACAAATCTAATTAAAATTTAGGTAGCAAAGGACAACATTTTGTGAATAGGTGTTTTGATGCATATGTGATGATCAACTACACAGAGTATCGCACACTTCATTTCAGCGTAGTGCTACTTTGGCACTAGGTGTTTTTGTTGAAACCTTGTCATTTCTGAATCATAAGCCTTATTCTATAAGTGTTTTATTTTATTTTTTTTGTACTGTTTTTGCATAAAATATTTTATGCATTATCTGCTTTAAACCATTAAAAATGGCGGTTAAATACCTGACGATTGTTTCCCTTTAAAACAATTGACACATACCTAAAAATGTTAATAGGAACCACCTGATAACTGCTGGAATTGTAGACGCTGAATATCTACCATAGAATTCCAGTTTATAAACTTTAGTTTGTTAACCCCTTAAAACCGGAGGGCGTACTATTACGCCCTATTCTAAGCGGCTCTAAACGCGTTTTTTTGTTACTTACCCGGTCGCCGGCGATCCCACGCCAGCGATCGCGGTTGGGAATACTCATCTGGGATCCCAGGGAGTCCCCCTCTGGCCCCCCCCGGCCATGTGAGAGTGAGGTCCTTGCAAGGGCCTCACAATCACATGGCCGGGTTAGCTAGCTGCTGCATTGCCAGCAGGGCGACTGCCTGTAATGACAGTTAGTCCCTCTGCTGGCTGGAAATCAAATAAAGTTAAAATCAGTGTAAAAAAAAAATATATACTTAGATTAGATAGATACTGATTAAAAATATATATAATTAAAATATACTTAATATAAGTATAATATAATTAATATATACTGATTAAATATATATAATTATATATATATATATATATTTATATATAATATAAAAAAAAATATGTAAATATGTTAAAAAATGTAATTAAAAAAATAAAAAATAAATAAATATATAGATGTGTTTGTTCTAACTGTATTGTGATATAAATATATATTTATATCAAAATACACGTAGAACGAAATAATAAATATATCTATATACATAAATATATACATATATATCACTATACCTATATATAAATAAAAATATAATTTTTTTATATATTTATATATATATATTATACATACGTATATATATATATATATATATATATATATATATATATATATATATATATATATATATATATATATATATTAATTCTACATATATATTTATGTAATATTTTACATAATTAGGTATTTTAATTAATTACAATTAGCGGGACCTGCCTGACAGTAAAGGGAATTTAATTTGCTAGCACTATATTTAACCCTATAACTTTCCAAGACACCATAAAACCTGTACATGGGGGGTACTGTTTTACTCGGGAGACTTTGCTAAACACAAATATTAGTGTTTCAAAACCGTAAAATGTATTACAACTATGATATCGACCAGTAAAAGTGAAGTTTTTTGCATTTTTCACACATAAACAGCACTTACACGGACGATATTATTGCTGTGATACTTTTTACTGTTTTGAAACACAAATATTTGTGTTCAGCGAAGTTTCCCGAGTACAACAGTACCCCTCATGTACAGGTTTTATGGTGTTTTCAAAAGTTACAGCGTCAAATATAAGGCTTGTGTTTCATTTTTTTCACTTTAAAATTCGCCAGATTGGTTACGTTGCCTTTGAGACCCTATGGTAGTCCAAGAATGAAAATTACCCCTATGATGTCATACCATTTGCAATAGTAGACAACCCAAGGTATTGCAAATGGGTTATGTCCAGTGTTTTTTAGTAGCCACTTAGTCACAAACACTGGCCAAAATTGGCGTTTTTTGCATTTTTCACACACAAATATTAACGCTAACTTTGGCCAGTGTTTGTGACCAAATGGCTACTAAAAAAGACTGGACATATACCCCATTTGCAATACCTTGAGTTGTCTACTATTGCAAATGGTATGCCATTATGGGTGTAAATTTCATTCCTGGGCTACAGTAGAGTCTCAAAGGCAACATGACCAATTTGGCGAATTTCAATTTTAAATGTAACGTGCTATATTTGATCTGTAACTTCCCAAAACACCATAAAACCTGTACATAGGGGGTACTGTTTTACAAGTGAGACTTTGCTGAATACAAATATGTGTATTTTATTGCAGTAAAAGCAAACAGTATTATGACATTGACAGTTAAAATGTCATGTAGAACCACAATAATAACATTTCTAATTTTTTCTCCCATTTTTTTCATATTAAATTATGTTTCATAGCTAAATATTTGATATAAAATGAAAGCCCTGTTTCCCCTGAATAAAATGATATATAATAAGGGTGGGTGCATTTAATATGAAAGAGGTGAATTACAGTTGGACAGACATGTAGTGCAAATGCCAGGTTTTGTTTATGTTTTGTTTTGTTCACAACGTGTACATTTGGCTCAGTCCTTAAGGGGTTAACCCCTTAAGGACACATGACATGTGTGACATGTCATGATTCCCTTTTATTCCAGAAGTTTGGTCCTTAAGGGGTTAATCTGACTGCATGTTTGTGGCAGCTGCCTGGGTATTTTCAAATGAGTTTTGGTTTGAAACTCTTATTCCCCCTCTCCGTGTTCGCGTCTGTTAAATAGATCCAGCAGTCCATTGAGTAACTTCATGTGGTTGCCTTTTAAGTTTGCTTGACCTTTTGTGATTGCTTAGTTGACATTTACAATGATAGGCAGGGCAAATATGTATATTTTCCTGGCGGCGGCTAAAAAGGACAGGCTTTGCAAAAAAAAAAATATAGCACAGATGTCAAACATCTTGTATTTGTGATCTGCCAACCAGAAGCCTCAGAAGCTTGGGCAACAGACTTGCTGTAATTATTTTGACATTATATTTCTAGAGCTAGCTCTGAAAATTAGCCTTCACTGACCAAGCTAATTAAATGCACATGTAACAAAATAAAGTGTTTTAGTTTAAACATTTAGCATTTATTCATTGTGTGTAGAGTAAAGGAACACTCCAACCTCAGTAACAACTTCAGCTCATTGCCGATATTATGGTGGCAGGAGTGTCCAAGCACCATTTTTCCTTCTGTGGTTAAGCCATTTTTTATGGTTTAACCCCAAATTTGGCCTACCAGCACTGGACACCACAGTTTCCTTCCTCTCTGTCACGGCAGTGTAAGTTGGATTTTTGTGGAGTGGCCGATGATGTTGAAAGCATCAGCTGATGATCTTAACCAACCACTCATCACCTGTTGAGAGAAATAGTAGATACGATCTCTCAATGGGAGGACACGGACCGTCACTAGAGGCTACTGATGACACTGGTTGCATCTAGTACCTTTTCATGGGTTCAGTGTTTCTGTATGAGAAGGATCGGATTGGCAGAGTGTAGCGGTTGCTGTGTATGCACCCCTTGCCCCCAATGCTTCTTTATTAGAAGCACCGGATTGGGCAAAAGTCAGAATTGATTACTTTATTAGAGGCAGGGAGGCTGTAGAGGGGAGACTGTTCCAGCATTGGACCACTTTTACCACTTTTACATTGTGTGGGGAGAGTGGACAGAGAAGCACAGCCACGTCACACACAGTCTCGCCCTTACAGTCAGTCACCCTTATACACACAGGGATATGGTGTTTGTATTGCCTGATGCCTGGGACATGCAGTTCTGGGTGACAAGCAGGCATATTTTATTTTTTGCCCTTTTATTTTTGGCCACACTCCTCCACATACACAGTCACAGCCTTGCTCATAACACTGCACAGATCCACAAGACCACATGTACCTCACAGACACAGAAATACACATGTTCACAGACATACAGATATACATTCCAGTCACACACCCATACAAAACTATTCGCTGCCAGACACACCCTGTGACTGTGTCTGTATTTATCTCTGTGTGTGTGTGTGTGTGTGTATATGAATGTGTTGGGTAAATGTCTATTACATACTCATACATGTTCCTTTAATGCAACACTGTGTTTCCTTTAGCTAATGTGCCATCTATGAATACTGAAACAGCTAAAATACATCAAAAATAGTCTTATTCAGATGGTGTCTTTTTGCTGAACACTTGCTTGTGAAGGTTTAATAAAGGGGAAAGGCTGAATCTAAAATAAAATTAAAACCGCACAACCTTAAAAATATTTGTATTTTTTACTGTTAACATTTTTCATAAAAGCCACTTCTGAAACAGTTTTTTTTCCTACAGACTTTCCTGCCCAACATTGTTACTGCAGATAAATACTGTTGGATAAGGCTATACAAATGAGTCCAACCAGATTAAGGGGATCTGGCACTAAAAAGAGGCAGCAGGTGCTTTAAGGCTATGAAGTGACTCCTGCTGTGTTAAGAATGCTTGTCTCATTGTCAAAGAGGTTTAAATCCATAGCAATTCCAGAAATGTTCTTTACAATATGACTTCCTTTCATTTATATGCAGGGCAGAGTACTGGAAATATTTCTTATCCATTTGTTAGTAGGAGAGTATCTGTAAAGTAATCGTGATAACCTGAAACAAAAATACAGACTTAGAAATAAAATGTTAAAAATAAATAAATGTAATACTGTAATTGTGTTGTTTCTAAATGTTTTGCTTTGTTCGCACCCACAGGTATAATATAGAACCCAGCCTGTATTCACCATTCTTCTCTCTTGGTGCCTGCATGGAGGGGTTAACCTTCCTTTTTAATCAGCTTCTTGGCATCACGCTGTATTCTGAAGAACCGGAGAAAGGAGAGGTTTGGCATGAAGATGTTCGCAAGCTGGTGTGTATGAGGGGGCTTTTATGGGTGGTTTTCTTGTGCTTCTCTCTTAAAGAGGCTGTTTAGGCACCAAGACCAACCTATGCTGGTTATGGCACCATATACTGGTTCTTAATCAAAAATCAAAATGTAAGAATCCCCGAGGCATATGAAACTGTTCCCCAGTGGTCAGAATTTCTGTTGTGAAAGTTCAATTTCCACATAAGATATGTCTGTTTCATCCATATTTTAAAGCCATTCATTGGCTGAGCAGTGATGGTGCCCACCGCCTTATTGCACCATAATTTCTTGAATGATCCTTAAACAACCGTAGATAAAGTAATGTTAATTGTAAAAATCCTTAGTCAATATTTAAGTTTGCGGATCCCTCCTATATCAGGAGTAGGGTATCTTTTTAGCCACATTGCCAAAATAGGACTTTAAAGCGGTACTGCCATGCCGAACTTACCTTTCCCCAATTGATTCCTCTTCTCTCCCTCTCTCAGGATCTGTTCTTCATTTCTTCCTGTCTGCTCTAGTTTTCTTTAAAACTTAAGAAAAAGTAGGGACTATTTCTCTTATGGAGGTTTCCTGCGCAGTGACCAGCGGAGGAGCAAAGTGTGCTTCATTTCCGGTGGTCAAAGCAATTTTCCCATCATCCTTAGCTTTCCTCCCTGTTCCCACGATGCCTCCTGTCAGTATGGCCGAACGTCCTGTCACTTAGACAGGACGCTGGCAAAACTGCCGAATTGCATTCTAACAGTTTCTTCATTCGTGTTAGAACGCAATTCGGGACTTTGTTCGCATCGGAATTTAATTCGAATGAATGAAACTCTGATCCTATTCATTGCCGCGGCTGCGTCTTGCAGCCGCTTAGTAGATAACTCCCTAACTCCCACGGTATCAGGGAGCTATATACTAAAAGACCTAAATTGGTCTTTCAGCCACATTTACTAATACTAAGTAAAGATTACTTAGTATTAGTAAATAATCTGCCCTGTCTAGTAAGCAGTGAGCAGCCTGTGGCTGCTCACTGTAAAAAAGAAAAAAAGAAAAATAAAAACCTATTGCCCCCATCCCTGTGCGACAGTTGGGGACCATAAAGATAATGGGGGGGGGACCTACTGTCCTCCACCCGGACCCTACCCCTGCGTGGTGGGTGGGGCCATAAATTACAATGGGGGGGACCTACTGTCCTCCCCACCCCTGCGCGGTTGGTGAGGGCCATAAATTACAATGGGGGTGGGACCTACTGTCCTCCCGGCCCCCCCACCCAAATAAAAAGTTACCCCCTACCTACCTAAAAGTTACCATTTATTGGCACCTTCTCCATGTATTGTTTGAGTAAGCTGTATGTATTGTGTGAGGTTGTCTGTGTGTGGACTATCATATGTGTATGACAGCTTTAAATCATTGTAAAATTGTGATATTGTTCTTTAAGTTAAATAGTATTGTAAAATACCATGGCTGTCTTCCCCAATTATGGAGAGCGCCAAGCACCGTAACCAATACAGCGTGCTGTACTTGACTCAACCATTGTTTTTTTTTGTTTTTTTTCCAATTCATGTGAAGACAGCCTCCATTTCATTAGGTGAATGTTAATGTACTATTTCTTTTTATTACAAGGCTGTAGTGCATGAAAACGAAGGCTTGTTGGGATATATTTATTGTGACTTCTTCCATAGAGCCGAGAAGCCTCCTCAGGTAAGCACTATAAAGCAGCGACGTTCACACAAATTAGTAAAGACATAGATTGCATTGTATTCAGTACTCCATGTTCACTGTCTGTTAAAGGGACACTATAGTCACCAGAACAATTACAGCTTAATGTAGTTGTTCTGGTGAGTATAATCATTGCCTTCAGGCATTTTCATGCATACACTTTCTTTTCAGAGAAAAGACAGTGTTTATATTTCCCTTTAGGGACTCCTGAGGGGTGGCCACTGGGGATTCTTCCCAGGGCAGTACTTAACAGTAGGCAGCACTGCCATTCAGGGTCTCTACTCTCTGCCTGGAGGCGCTGAATTTTCCGCATAGAGCTGCATTAATTCCGTATAGGAAATCTTTGCATTATCTAAAGAGCGTCAATGCTGATGTCACCAAGGAGGCGGATCTGGGGCAAGGCCAGCATCGGCAGACCAACACAGCGTTGAAAATAAGGTGAGTTTTCAGCTTTTCTAAGGGTGAGGGGGGGAAAGCCACCTAAATTTTGGCTTAAACACTATAGGGTCAGGAATACATGTTTGTGTTCCGCACCCTATATAGTGCTCCTTTAAGCATACATTTAATCAACACACTTTAGATTGGTCTACATAGACTGCAAAAAGATAATATACGAAGGAGGAGAAAATCCCAGTGGCTTGTCAAAAATATTTGTGTTATTCTGTCTCAATTATTATTCAGTTGTATAATTTAGTATGCACAATAAAGAGAACAGGACTAAAATCGTGATTTATGACTGGGTTGAGAATGAGCAAAAACTCAATAGTTTGTCCCTTTGGTAAGTCCCCACTTGGGTCTCAAACATTTCTTGTCCTGTAGAAAGTACCCCTGTGAGAGCCGCTCCTGTTGCAACTGGTCGTGTAACTAATTTATCTAGAACATTTGTTTCTAGAGATCTGTATACGAGCTGTGTGTTTTGATAGCCTTTTTTAAAAGGAGAAAACTTAAACCAGCTGAATTAATAGAGGCTGGGGCGTCATTTCATCTGTAATCCCAAAATTTCACATCATGATGAAATGCTTAAGAGAAGCAGGAACATATCTGGTAGAAGTTTTATTGAGGTGGATGTCCTTGTACGGCAGAACATTAGAGCACTAAGTAAAGTAAAATATGAGAACACCTGTACATTTTTGCATTGGCGTAAGCCAGACAAAGCATATTTGGTTTGGAAGTCTTGAGGTCTCCTACAAAAAGCAATTCTACATAAGTCTCTATTGCATCAGTCCCAGAATATGGGGTTCCAGAAAGGAAAATGGAAAAATGAAAATGGTGAATTAGAAAGGACATTGTTGAGGACTTTAATTTCAGTCCAGAGGTATATGCTATGGCATGTCTTGTAATACAAAATCCACCCTATCTTCATGGTGACTGCATTGTGTGCTCTGCCAGTCTGGGGTTCTTTATTTTCCAAGAAAGTTTAAGAACTGAGTTGTCTTAAGGCGCCACTAGGGTTGCAGGAAATTTAATCATCCTGATAATGTGTACGAGTTTGGGAATGCCATCATCATAACAGCAGCAATCCTGGTGACCTAGATGGTCTACATGTGAAGGAATGCTCAGATTAAAAAAAAAATATTTGTTTTAAACTTATTCCAGCGCAGGTAGAGTATCCTTTCTGCTCCTCTGATTTGCTTCTTGTGAAGAGATAATTATTGATGACTTATGTCCAATCAGATGCTTTTCATAGAGAAGCATTGGGACACACAAGCTGTTCTTGTCACAGAGAAGTGTTAAAAAAATAAAATAAAAACGAAAGCACTTACATCTTCTTTAACGTACAGTTCAAAGTGAGTGAGGAAGAAAAAAAAACCTGCTGGCTGCCTGCTTGACACTGCTACTCTAAAGGGTATTTATGAAACAGATGGCACTTTTATAAAATAAACCTGTAGAGACATGCAGGAAGAATTGTCTTCATATTTCTTAAAGGGATACTCTAAACACTATAACAAATTCATGTCATTGAATTGCCTGGAATCCTATGACGCTGTCTCTCCATTCAGTGTAAATCATTTTTTAACAGTAAATGAGGGTCCCTGGCTACCTATAGCCTAGCCCCCACTAGAGGTATGGCTAGGAAAAAGATTAGACTCTTTCTTAGCCATACCAATTTATACCAAATATGAAGAAAAAAAATGTGGTGACTAAAAATTCTAACATGAATATGAAAAACAAATACAAAAATATAAGTCCTGCACTCACTCCCATCACTCCTGGGCGGCAGCAATGACCACAGTACACATCAACCCCAATATATACTAAAAACCAAAGAAGGAAAAAAGTTACCTGCGTTTTTTTCCCTTAATCCCTATGTATATTTAGACAAATGGAGGTCATTTAGTTACTCCAATGGCCTCATTGGAGATATCTTTGCCAGAAGCTCAAGGAAGCAATGTGAAGGGTCAGTGTAGGACCCACTTAGGGGGGGTCTGCCTTGACGTTGGCAGGCGGGCATTCCCTCCAATGGCCATTGGAGTAACTAAATGAATATGAAAAAGACAGAGTAGTTCTATAAATAATAATTACAGGGTGTTTAATATGTTATAAATATGTTTAATAAATTATAGCGCTACTCTATCTTTCTGATACCAATTCATACCACCAGTGGGCATTTGTTATAGGCTGAGAGCAATCAGCTGACATTATTCAGCCAATCACTGCCATCCATTTCTGCCTAGTCTTATTCTTCTTCCTTAGACTAGGAGACAGGCTGTGGGAACACTTGTTTATCATTAAGCTATTCAAAAGTCTTTTAACTCTGAATGCAGGGTTGGTGCCAGGTGACTCCAGTCACTATAACCACTTCAGATAAAGTGGTTACAGTACCTGTAGTGTCCCTTTACCATGGGGAAGTAATGCTAAAAACTACTTATATCTTCCTTGTTTTATGCACCGCAATGATTTTCTCATTTAAAGCAATCTGATTTATGTTTGTTTTCTAAATATCCTGTACTGCTCCTCGTGGCTAACTTGGATATTGGCCAAGAGGACAAAGTAGCTACTTGTTGCAACATTTTTTTCTATTGGACTATCCGTAGAGAAGTCCTCACAAGATTGGGGATCCACGCTGCAAAAGCAAAGGCTTTTACCCTTCTCCTACCAGCCGCATATTGACTTCTATGTTGTTTTTCATCTAATCAGATCTAATACAAACAGAAGTCTCTGTGCGTGATACTGTTTTTAATATGTAGCTCGCGAGAAGGAACGGCGAAAGATGTGATTCTCCAGGGTTCCAGTTGTTTTGCTTCCCACTAGTGAAAATGGGGTCACATGAGGTGCAAGGCAGAACTGCACCCCGACAATTTTTATTGTCAAGATGTTAATATATGATTCTAGATGTGAATTTTAATACGTTCTTGTATATGTTTTATTTTCCAATTTTGTGTTTCGCCATCCACAGGACTGTCACTTTACTATACGTGGAGGCCGACTTAAAGAAAATGGAGAATATCAACTTCCTGTTGTTGTTCTAATGCTGAATTTTCCTCAGTCAACAAAAGGTTCTCCTACGCTGCTAACTCCAGGCATGATGGAAAACCTGTTCCATGAAATGGGCCATGCAATGCATTCCATGCTGGGGCGGACACGCTATCAGCATGTCACGGGTAAGGGTTTATCCTTGTCATGCTGCTAAGCAAATATGATGGTTTTATAGGTGTAGTGCTGTCATTCATCTTTGTCAGTGTGCATCATGGCTGGCTTCCTCCGTCTCACTGGCGTCACAGACAAATTGAATTTATAGTAGAAGTGGAATGAGAAGAAACAAAACTGTTCTCGGATTGCTGGTGCTCTGATTGTGATCAGAGTCATTGTAAGGTTTCTGTAACTTTGTGGGGTTTGGATGTATGCAAGCTCAGGTGGAATTTGAAATCAAAGAACGAAGTACCGTTTAGAGACCCAGTGGTGGTATAGTGAGATTTTTTGGGACCAAGTGAGTGCTCCATGGATTCTAAATGTTCATCATTATCCCCCAAGATTCACTAATTAAAGTTTTTATCATAACAGTCATGACAAATTAAAATGTAGTCATTAAATTAAAAGAAAAAAAAAAGTTACCAAGTTCATAGAAAAAGTGTCACAATCTAGCAATCTGTATGTTTGTTACACAAGAAAAATTAATTACATATATATTGTGATTTTTCCTACCGATCTGTACCAATCTGCAATGTTTGCTTTTTAACTGGTATACATCATGTCATAAACAGATGACAAACACAGGGACACTGTAGACAACTAAATCAACTTTATCTTAATGAAGCAGTTTTGATGTTTAGATCCTGCCCCTGCAATCTCACTGTCCAATTCTCTGCCATTTAGAAATCACGTTTTTGTTTCTTTTTATGCAACTTTAACCATACATCCCCTGACTGTGACTCTCTCAGGTTGTATGAAATTTTTTTTTATTTTTTTCAATCTGATGTTAAATTACTTTAGAAACTTTTATCTACTGATCTGTAATTGAACTTGAATCATACACAAGGAGGCTCCTGCAGGCTCTAGAATGCAATTAACAGAGCAGGCCTCTACTGTCCATGTAAGCAACATCTCCCGGAAAACTTGCTATTACCATACAGTGCTGCTATGTGATAAACCCAGCAAGTCTGTAAACTGTACGTGAGCACCACTACTGGCCAAGTAATTTATTACTTTTTGAGAAGTTAATCCAATACATAAACTTGACAGGTGTACGTTTGTTTATTGGTTTTGCATATGTTTGCTACGTATTATCTATGTTATGTCAACTCGAGAGTGTCCCTTTAAATGAAGTTAAAATAATAATCCCCCTGGTTCTTGCAATCATCAAATCTCAGCCTGACAAAATGTTTTGTGGTTTGCACACAAGAATGCAGCTTACAAACATATCTGAATAACTTAGAGAATGTATCCCTGGAGGTCTGATCCGAACTATAAAAAGTGCCAAAAACTTGGTAAACACTACAGAGAACAGTATGATCTAAACCAAATGTGTATTCACAAATTGCATAATTTAATCTTGATTATTTTTTTTACTTAGAAACTCTTGTAATCTGTCTGACCCATAAAGTTGATCTAGTGAGTAGTATAAAATAAATCCGAAATACCTTTTTTGTGTAAATAATATTTATAAATTCAATATTGCATGTAACATATTGTATTCATTGTAATGCAGGTGAAATATCAGTTGATGTTTTGAATCCTTATAGAGCTACAGACTGGGATTTCTCTGGCATTCCCAACCGAGAGACATGAGGTTAGGGCTTCCCAACTCCTATATTGCACATTACTGGTGGGAGGAACATCAGCTAGACCTCCAGAAACCGGCAACATTTCATTATCTGACAAAAGCCTGTGATTTGTCTTCTTCCAAATCTGTTATCTTGTCCTTGATATCTAAGTGACCTTTTGGCAGAGGTTTACAGGGACACTATAGGCACCCAGACCACTTCAGCGCATTGTCCCTGGAAACTGCAATAATTACCTGCTAGTGTTAACTCCGCCTCTAGTGTCTATTTACTAGATAGCCACTAGAGGGTCTTCCGGGTTGCTAGGCGACTTTTGGTCGCCTGACGCTAGACATCCTCATGCTATGGATGCACAATAGGTCTCCCCCGTCGGCAGGTAGAGGAGAGAAGACGGAGCCAAAGCCAGCGCCCAGGGACCTCGGCACTGCACTAGGTAAGTGTCAGAAGGAGTGTTTAACACCTTCTGCACCACGGGTTGTGGCCATCAGATAAAGGGGGCACTATAGGGAGCTATTGTGCAAGGAAAGCAACTATGTTTTCCTGCCACTACAGTTTCCCTCTAATGCAGACCCCTGTGATGACTGAAACATGAATTTATGTTTACCAAAATGTGGTGACATTCTTTATTTTGCAGCCTTTAATGATCAATAATGCCTTAGTATGTACAGTGGCATTACAACATACCACCAGGGACACTTGCTGGTGAGGTGGTCTGGCCGGGATTCGATACTGTATTGTAAGGCAATGATGTTAATACGGCTCTAACAAGCCAATATAAAATACTTGTTTGTATGCACCATAATCGACTTCTCCAAAACAGAGCCCTCTCCACTCACTACCTACCATCTCTTGTGTTTCCAATATCTCACATTAACATGGCAAAGCTTCCCACTTTCACCCAAAAATATCTGCTTACTGACTACCTCTTTTTTTTCTGAGTTATTAATTATGGTCTCAATTCAACCGACTGACAGGCTTATTAACTAAATTCCAAAAACTACTAAATTGACCTTTGCCCCATCCTTGTGTGCATACTTTTCACCTATGTCATAATGAAACATGGCAAGGACTGCTAACCCAGAAATAAGACGGCTACCATTTTGGAATTGTTTTGCAGCAAGTTACTGAAGTCTGAGGAATTCTACACAACCTATTCTTGAAAGGTGTCAAGGCATGATCTAATCCGTTCCCCACCTCCAACACATTTTAGGATAGTGTTCTGTTCTAAAAAGTTGTGCTAAAATGTGAAAGGGGGGGACATTCATCAGACGAATGTGACTGCTGGTTCCACTTGTAGTGCTTTAAGCTACATTTTATAACAGAAAACTTTGATTAATAAGAGGGAAATGTTCCGCTTAGATGTAAAAGGGGCACTATAGTCAACCAGCTTAGTGTATCCGTCCCTTCAGACATTTTGCAGTAAGCACAGTTTTTTTCATAGAAAAGGCAGTGTTTACATTACAGGCTAGGGATACCTCCACTGGTCACTCCTCATATGGCTACAATGTGCAGCACTGCCATTTAGTGTCTCCACCCTCTGCATGGAGACTCTGAACTTTCCTCATAGAGATGCATTGATTCTATGAGGAGATGCTGAATGGCTTGTGCTGGCTCTGCTTCCACGACAATCTCTGCCAATCCAATGCTTTGCAATGGGAATGCATTGTGATTCTCACAGATCACCACTTCTAAAGATGTCAGCCAAGCACCCGCAGATCAAGCTTTTACTATATTTAGTTTGATAATGAGGTTGGGAGGGGGGGGGAGGGGGAGGGCTAGATGATTTTTTTAAAAACAATACTGTCAGGAATAAATGTTTGTGTTGCTGACCCTATAGTGTTCCTTTAAAATGTTTGAGCAGGGCACGCTTCACCTCTGTCATAATTTATTCTGTCAATTACTTGCTGTTGTATATCCAGGTGGTGGTGTTCATTGACAATTAAATTCCCTCCTTGTATTTGAAAGCAGATTGCCACAAATCTTATTGTGTACACCATCTAGACCAGTGATTACCTACTGATTAGTTACTTTGTTGCATTCTGAAGGCTGTAGTTCTAAAACAGTTTCAAAATCTTTATTATAATCACAATATTGTTTTTAAAAAGAGATATTAGGGGGGGCGTGGCCTAGCGACGGATGAGAGAGGTCGCCTGAGCTCGGAGCTCTCCCGCCAGCCAGTGCACACAGCGTGGAAAACAGCGTGTTTTTACCGGCGAATACGGCACCAGTGACACACAACGTTGCAGAACAACAATGTCCACAAAAATCGCCAAGAAATATAAGCAAAAAACGCTCCAAATGCAGACAACAACGATGTTAAACACTGGAGCTGAAATCCAAGATGGCGCCGACAGGCCTGATTCTCCGGCCTCGTGTGCCGACGCAGGTGAGCTCATCCTCACTCCAGGCATTCTGCAAACGCCTGTCACTAACGAAACACTACACAATATGCTCCTGGACCTTAAAAACACATTCAAATCGGAACTGAAACAGATTGCCACAGATATTAGATTAGACATTCAATCCCTGGGTGACAGAACATCTCGCCTAGAAGAGAGGGCGGAAGAAATCACGGAAGCACACAACTCTATAACAGAAGCACACTCAGCCCTACTCACAAGATTGCAATCTTTGGAGGCAAAGGTAGCAGACCACGAAGACCGAGACCGACGCAACAATATCAGAATCCGGGGGATCCCGGAATCGGTCGGTCCACAGGGTCTGACCTGCTACGTCCAAGATATCCTCAAGGCATACATCCCATCCCTGACAGAAGCTGAACTGCTCCTAGACCGCACACATCGCCTCCCGAAGCCCAAGCATCTACCGGCAGCTGTTCCACGAGACGTTATTACCCGGATACATTATTTCACAACAAAAGACCGAATAATGCAGGCCTCCAGAAGCCAAGGTCAGCTCCCGGGAAAATTCTCACAGGTCAAACTATTCATAGACCTATCCTCCACCACGATGTTCAAACGGCGCACATTTGCCCACATCACAGCAGCACTGAGAGCAGCCGGGATCCAATACAAGTGGGGCTTCCCCACCAAAATCTTGGTCAAGCGCAATGGAGTGGACAGTCAGATCTCTGACCCCGAAATTGGCAAGAGACTCTTGACGGAATGGAACATTCCAATACGGGATGACCCCTCGCAACAGCCTAGCAGCAGACCTCCAAGACACCTCCAGAAAGAATGGGAAATGCAACCACACAACACCAACACGCAGAGGCGCATCTGAACGGAGCAAAAAGCCAAACAATCCAAGAACTGCAACACTGATCCCTAAAAGGACAGGTCGTATATTTTCAATGTGGCCACTTTTAGGTTCCTCTCCCTCTTTTTCTAAGCACAAACCGGACTTACAACTGTTCGCACTGTGCAAAGGCGACATTACGACTCTCTTTAACTACAATTGGCAGTAGTATTGTTCTATTGCACCCTAGGTAGCTATACCTACCCCCAGTGTGGCTAAGTCATCTAAGCCACGAATGCAACCGTTATACTTAATATCGCACCGATATGATGCGGTGAACGGAATGTTGTACATAGTTACTTATTGTTTTAGTTATGTTCTTAATTCTATATCCTCTGACAGGCAGATCCTAAATACCTTAAACCACGTGCTCCCACTGTCGCACAGCCCTATCAAGAAAGGCACTTACAAATCCCTTATCAGGCGTAAGAGCTATGCTGAACCCTTGGCGGACCCTAGCGGCCCTCCCTCTGTACCACACTTAGCCCACAATCCTATCCAACTCCGAGATGGTACTTAAAATCTGCTCCCTGAACGCCAAGGGACTAAACTCCCCGAATAAACGCCGCTTGGCCCTACGCGAAGCGAAATCCCTAGGTGCCCATGTAATGTTCCTTCAAGAGACACACTTTAAGTGGGGCTCTAGGCCTAAATTTAACTCCCCGGCATTCCCCATTGACTACCACTCCTGCTACTCAACTAAGAAACGAGGAGTATCCATCCTAATAAGTAAAGACGTAACGTTTTCATTAATACGAAAAATTGGGGATAAAAAAGGGAGGTACCTCATCTTACAATGCCATCTGAATAACAATGTATATACCCTGATTAATGTATATGGACCTAATACTAATCAATGTGACTTTGTGGATGTGTTGTTGGGATTGCTGTCTACACACGTACTGGGGGAGGTAATCATTGGAGGTGACACAAATTTCCTATTAGACAGCGACCTAGACTCTTCCAGAGGTCCAAAGCTGACCAACCAAACTCTAAAGCATAGGTCCAAATTGACCTCACGCATATGCCACAAACTAGCGACATACAATCTTGTAGACCCCTGGCGGGTTACACACCCCACAGAAAGGGACTATACCTATCACACAGCAGTACATAACAGCTATTCTCGAATAGATAGATTTTTACTCCACACCTCCTCCCTCACGAAAGTAGAACACACAGACATTGGTCTGATCTCGTGGTCAGACCACGCGCCTATCACATTGTCACTTAGAGAACAATTCCCCAACAAAGGAAGGGGCAGCTGGAAACTCAATGAGCAACTATTAACCGATCCGGAGGTAACCAAACAGATAGAACAAGAACTGAAACATTATTTTCAGGAGAATAAATCTCCGGACTCACCCCTAACCCAAATATGGCTAGCACACAAAGCCTACATACGGGGTTGCTTCATAAAACACGCTAGCTATGCAAAAAAACAGCGCCTTGAAAAATACACCTCTATACTTTCTGAGCTAGCCACATTAACACACGCTAACAAGCACACACCAACAGCGTCCACACACACTAGGTTACTACTCTTACAAACACAACTAAGAGACATAGAACTAGCCAAAACCACATTCCTCACGCGCAGGCTCAAACATAAGTATTTCGCTGCCGGCAATTGTGCAGGAGCAAAATTAGCAGCACAATTGAAACAGAGAACATCAACCTCCAGAATTGCCTCCCTCAAGGGACCAGGGGGTGCCAAGATATTAGACCCACAAGGGATCGTAGATGAGTTTGCTCACTATTATGAAAAACTATATAATCTAAAGAATGACCCACAGACGATATGCCCCACAAAGTCCGATATAGATGCCTTCCTGTCGGAAGTCAACCTCCCGACCCTATCGCCAACTGACACAGATGGTCTGCGCAGCCCTTTCACAACGAAAGAGGTAGCGTTAGTGATCTCCTCACTCCCACAGCATAAATCCCCGGGCCCTGATGGACTACCCAATAAATACTACCGCACATACACTAGTTCCTTGTCACAGCCCCTCACAGAACTGTTTAACCATTGCATGAGAGAGGGCTCCTTACCGGCGGAGATGCTACTGGCCCATGTTTCCACTCTACCCAAGCCAGGCAAATCCACGGACCAGTGTAAGAATTTCAGGCCCATTTCGCTGCTAAACAGCGACGCAAAAATCTATGCAAAGCTATTTAGTGACAGATTAGCTCCACTCATACATAAACTAGTACACAATGACCAATCAGGGTTCGTGAGAGGCCGGCAGGGCTCTGATAATTCCAGGAAGGTACTGAATATGGTGGAGGGGATGGCAAAAGGGAAACTCGGAGGCCTTTTTCTGGCGCTGGACGCCGAAAAGGCCTTTGACAGGCTGAGTTGGCAGTACATGACGAGAGTACTACAAACATACAACTTCCCCGAAGAAATTGTCAAGGGCATACTGGCGCTCTACGCGCAACCCAGTGCTAGGGTCTCACATAGTGGGTTCCTCTCTAGAACCTTCCACATTACAAACGGGACACGGCAAGGATGCCCGCTATCTCCCTTGCTCTACATCCTTTCTTTAGAACCCCTGGCCCAAAAAATACGAGCACATAAAGACATAACCGGCATCTCCCTGAGGGAAACAGAGTATTGTTTAGCCCTATTTGCAGATGATATCTTTGTGGCATTGTCGAACCCAGAGAGCTCCCTACCCCCATTGTTAACACTCTTGAAGGATTGTGGTAAAATCTCATATTACCGCCTGAATCAAGAAAAAACGCAGGCCCTACCTATAAATTTACCAAGGCTACTTGTGGAAACCTTAAAGACCACATACGAACTCGATTGGCGGACGTCATCCCTAACATATTTAGGGGTAAAAATCGCCACCTCCATTGACAACATAATAAAACTTAACTTTAAACCTCTCATACAAATATGCAAAACTGAGATACTTAAATGGAAGACTGCGAACCTTTCATGGCTAGGGCGAGTAAATGCATACAAAATGATGCTACTGCCGAGACTGCTGTACAAGTTCAGAATGCTCACTATAGCTGTCCCGGCAGCAATACACAGGTCATTGCAAACGATCTGCAGCACATACATCTGGGGGGGAAAAAGACCTAGGCTGCCTCTACACCTCCTACAAAAAACAGCACACACAGGCGGCATTGGTTTACCTAACATAGGCCTCTATTACAAAGCCTCCCTGCTGGCTACCTGTATACAACTACATGCCCCAAGGGGCACGACTCAGTGGGTAGATAGGGAACACGATCAGCTTACATACCCCACACTGCTCAACCACATATGGACACCTAAGGCATTAAGGGGACCCCACACACAACTCTACCCTACCACAGCAGCAACGATCAAAGTGTGGGATGAATTCATGACATCCCTAGGTTGGAAGAAGCACTTCCACCCCGAAGCCCCCCTAAAAGCACTTAGCATAGTGAACCCCACGATCCCCCTGTCCAGGTGGACACAGCTGGGTATATCCCAGATTCAACAGCTGTGCAAAGGGCAAACCATAATGGACTTCCCAGACATGAAAAGCAGATGGGGGGTGCCGGATAGAGACATCTTTCCGTATCTGCAGCTAAAACACACTATTACCTCACATGTACAAACCTCTCCATCTACATTATCAACACACACGCTAGCTGCGAGACTAATACCCAGTCGATGCTGGACAGCCCCGCAGAAACCCAAGACTCTTTCCCTGTGTTATAGAGCCTGGCTAGAGTTAGCACCCCATAAGCCAATAACATGTAAACTTCACTGGGAGGCAGAGGCAGAAACTGAGCTCACTGAGGATGACTGGTTACTGGCCTTAAACGGCCTCAAAAAATGGACCCAATGCTACTCCCATATAGAGGCGCACCGAAAGCTGCTCTATAGATGGTATATGACCCCCAATAGGCTGCATAGGATATACCCTGCAGTGCCAGCCGAATGCTGGAGGTGTAATACGGAAATAGGCACGCTACCACACATCTGGTGGCACTGTAGCGGCATACAGCCGCTGTGGAGGGATGTTAAGGATATAATAGACGCCCTGGGAATTAAAGACTTCCCCCTAAACGTTAAGTCCTGTCTACTTCTACTGTTCCCCCAAGAAACACTCGAGAACCAAAAACAACTGCTTTTACTAATCTTAATGGCAGCACGCAACCTGATAGCGCTCAATTGGAAAAAACACAGTTGCCCATCCACACAACAACTGAAAGACAAAATACAACAGTTTTACATATATGAGAAAATGTCCACAGGCACCACTACAGCCACCGTAAAATTTAGAGAAACATGGGAGAGCTGGGAGACATGGTACGAAAAAGGGAATTGTCTGAGATAAGCAAAACAGCATAGAAGAGGGGAGTACTATTCAACCAGGCTAGAACCAAGTGCGGAGTAGCATACCACTTCCGTGTGGAAAGAAGTAAAAAGAAATGTCAACTACGTTATTTATTGATCTTACCTGCACACCTGTCTTGTGTATTCCGTTGTTATGTTCGACAAAATATCCATCCCCGGCTGTTCCAGGGGGTGCTATAGGAATTCACTGTACCACAGAATGTATGTTTTATGAGCTGTGACTATGTACTGAATTCATAATTGTGAAAAATTCAATAAAATACAATTGAGAAAAAAAAAAAGAGATATTAGGCTACCAACAGATGATAAGGCTAACATCTCGAACTGCTAAACGCAATTCACACCATCACGGTTTCCTCAACAATATTCTGATAGATTTATTTGGACATTGTATCAAGAATCTTATGTAATGTAAACAGCATCCAGAACAGGAGCTTTTATTTTGTCTTACAAGCACTACCCCTTACAGACTGAATGTAAGGAAAAATGTGCCCGGAAGGTACACACATGGCATTGTATAAAATGATTCTGTTATGAATTGGTTCTAGCTGAAAAATCTTCTACCTACTTTGAGTTAATCTCCCCTCTTTCTAGGTACCCGATGTGCTACGGATTTTGCTGAAGTTCCATCTATCCTTATGGAATACTTTGCAAGTGACTACCGAGTAGTAAACCAATTTGCACGGCATTACCAGACTGGACAGGTGAGCGCAGACAGCTGAGTCTACATTCTAGCTCTTTGTGCTTTTTTTTACATCTAGGATTTTTGAGATTTGCAGAATAAAAGGAAAGAGATGGTTTTTTTTCTATAAAGTGCATCACCAACAAAAACAGCCATAGTGAAAATAAGAGAAAATGTTATTTATAATGGAGTACTGTTCAAGGTTCGAAAAGCGTTTTGTTTTGTGATTTGTCCTAATATTACTCTTATTTATTTTGTTGGTGATGCATTTTATGGAAATGTTTAATCATACATTAAGATTCAATGTTTTCCTTTATCTGCTGCTTGCAGTTAAAGGGATACTATAGCCACCTTAAAAACTTTTAAAGTAAGTTAACATCTGATTGAATATTAAACCAATTTTATGTCATTCACAACCAGGGGAGGTGCGACTAGGACTGTATAAACAGAAACAAAAGTGGTTTATATCACGACTTCAGAGTCGTGATATAAACTGTTTCATTAAGTTAAAGTTGTTTTGGTGACTATAGTGTTTCTTTAAGTAGACTGTATTGTAATCCCTGTTATATCTGTAGATGTGCATAGCTTTTATAGTAGTGGCTCTAGTGCAAAGTTAAAAATAAGAGGGGATGGGGGACATCCGTGTCTTATTTCCCTTGGTAGTAGTGAAGGCGTCTGATTTAAAATAAATTGAAAAAAATAATAATTCTTAGTAAGGTGTACATGCTGAATTGAGATGTATATAATGTGGAGATGGTAGCTTTAAATTTTGAGTGTAAGTCAAATTTAAGTAGTGTGGCCAACGTTACAGTTCAGTCAGTCTAATGCCTTTTAGTTATCCAACACTGGTTGAAGAAGAGCGGTATTATGGGAGTTGCCCATGTCTGCTAGATTTCTAAAATGTTGGATATTGTTTGAGGCCCGTCTGTAAAGTATGAATCCTGATTGTATCCATAGCAAGTATGGTAGTCTTTACTGCCAGCACATAATATCAGAATGTCAAATATTCACTGGCAAACTAGAGAAGTACTTGCTGGGGGAATATTTGTGGCTGAGATCAGGAAAGTCTCCTGTAAGAGACTTCTCCTGATCTCTGTTGTCCTTCAAACCTGACTTGATGCTTAAAGGTGGGAAGGGGCCAAAGGTTTTAAGAGCAATAAATATAAAAAACAGAGATGAAATTTAATGCATTAAGTTGTGTGCCATGACAGGTACAATTTAGTATACTGCGATAATCTTCAATCATTAGGTTTATTTTATAGACTGCCAAAGGTGCCCCAACATACTACTCCATTCAGGCAAGGTATCAGAACTTAAAGTTTCTGTTACAAAACTAAATATTTTTTTTTTTTTTATTACTATTATTAAAGTAGAGCAGTCATCAGGTATTGTGCATGTGCTATCATTAAATCATTTTAAAAACTGCATGTTTTATATTCATTATTATTTCAAACCATTCCTAGCTAACCATTTCTTTGCCTTGGGCATGTTAGGCACATAACATTACCAGGGAGTTTGCAGAATAACTTCCTCTTTCCTGCACAGTAGAAAGTGGTGTGGCACCCTGCAAGTCAGTTTCTGATTGGGTGCTGACCGATTGTTTTCGGCAGCCCTGTATTTAATAGGTCACTGTTTTAGTGTTTTAAAATTGACATGCCATTCGAAGATGGCCACCTGCACAGGAAACACTGTTTGATCTTCATGTGATTATCACAGAACAAATCCTGCTTTATCTTGGCTAGCTGATGTGAATGCCAATTTTTATTTTATTTATTGAGCCATTAAAATGTCAAAATATATTTATCCAGCACATGTGAAACTGCATTAGTAATTTTGCTATCTTTCTGCCTTTATAACATACAAAATAAAAACCATTTAACCAGAAAGTATGCATTTATCCAAGGTAATTTGCATACTGTTTTTATTTTAATTTTTTTTTTTTTATATCAGAAGCCATACACAACTTTTTGGTTTTCTGAGGATTTCTGCATTTATCAAGTTTTCACTTTGCAAAATGTATTGTAAAAAAAATAAAAAAAACATTTTAGACTTTTATGTTTTCTTGTAAAAGGCCATCTTCTAACAAATGTTTTGTATAAAATAGTCTAGTTTTAGTAATCAAAGTGTTACAAAACATGGCTTGACACGCGTCTGCCAAAAGCAACATGGTTCACAGATAAAAACAAAGATGTTTTGAAAGCTTGACCAACACGAGCACAATAGGCAACTGTACTTCCAGATCCTTCCTAGAATTTGCATCTGATGTCATGCCCAGACTGGGAAATGGATGATTAGATGAGTTAAATTTAATTAAATTATTTCTCTGTCTATGGGCTGGTACAAAAGAGAACACTCATAACAGAAATGCAAACCGATCCTAAATTTTATCTTTGCACACATAAAACTTGATTAAAAACAAGCAGTTTGGAAATGGATTTGCTTGCGCTTTGTTCACTATAGGTACTATTTATATTCTTTAGAACATCAGAATTCCATGAACAAAGGCATCGTACATGGTCATACCAAATATCAAAGCCAGTAGTGTACCCGCATCTGTGGAGACAATCAATTTTCCTTTACCTAATATTAAAGCACTTTTATTATCTGTTTCGAGCATGGCAGTGGATAGAGTTAGTCTCTTTGAATTCACTTCCTGTCGATGGTGTAGCCTTGCCAAGTATTACAGAGAGAAGCTTTGATCCTGTCCCTTTGTGCAAGACAATCTAATAATGGGCTTCTGATTGAATAAAAGTGTTTGCTTTATCATAACTCGATAGAAAGGAACTGTTCAGTCTTTTATCAGAGGACCTCTGTCTACGAATGCCAGACTGCCCTTCTCTTTGAAGATTTCTTTAACAGACCCTGTTTTATCTGTATCTGGGCATAGAAAATGCCTCTCTAAATGACCAGTCACTCTGGATTTGATCAGAGTCTAAAATAGAGCCCTGACAGACCCGAGGACTGGCATTACAGCGATTCGTGTAGTAATGTATGATAAGCAATACAGGTTCTTCACCACCAGCAGTCTGGGTTTTTGGTTCCAGAGAGAGAGTCCAGGTTTTTATTAAACTGCTCAACAGAAAACTGCCGGATGGCACCCAAAGATCTTGCACTGTAACCACTACAATAAGATGTGGTTGTGAAACTTAGACCGTCCCTTTTAACTATTTTTCATTCTGCCATATTTTATACATTTTATATTGTCACAAATTAATATTGGTCAGTATTTGACAGGTACACTTTAGTGACTTTCGAATACTTATACATACTGCCAGTTGAAATCCTTGTTTAGTGAACACTCAGACATATCGCCCTTCTTTCACCCTCCCAAATGGTCACAGTGGACCCAGTCGGTATTGGTTTTACTGGGGTCTGATATTCTTTGTAGAACAATTGTGCATTTTATGGAGAGATTTTAACTTTCCTTTTCTGCTTTCCCTTTCATCATTTAGACTTTGTCAAAACCTATGGTTTCCCGACTATGTGAATCTAAAAAGGTTGCAGCAGCATCAGACATGCAGCTTCAGGTGAGTGTCTCTTAATGTCTACTCAACGCTGTAACACCTCTATAATGATCCAAATTATAAATGCCTAATTGGAAGCACTCGTAGTTTTATTACATTACCATAGTCTGGTCTCTTGGGAAATACACCAATATCTTGTATTGCTCAACGCTCTCTTTTGACCATGCGATTACATTACAAGGTATGGAATGGATGCCACCAATCCATGTCACCTTTCCGACTCTTCACACCACCATTGGGCATGCTCACATAAGCATTGTGGTTTGTGCATGTTTAATATGCAGCTGGGCTGTAAAAAAACTCCTGCATTGCTTCTATTGTTTAGGCTTGGATAAGGAGGTAATATGTAAATTTATCTATTGCTTACACAGTCACCAAGCCAGTGTAGAGATAGGAGATAGGTTCACATATGTAACTACAGAATGTGTGCTCTATGATTTACTGTATCTTTCTGTTCTTTTTTTTATTTTTTTATATGTGCCTTTTTACTTGGTGTTTAATAAGCTCCCATGTGTGATGTACAAGACATGTGCCTTACAACATTTTATTAACTAGCACAACTGTTTTGTTTTCCCAAGAGATATGAACGGCAAGAGCACCTCTCGCCATTCTGTTAGGGCAGTTGTCTGGTTAAGGAATGTAAGAGGGCATAGTGCAACTGACGAGATTGGAGACATTGGGCTGGTTTAATGTTCTTATTACGTGGTTCTGTGCTTTGAGGTTTTTTTGTTTGAAAAGACAATTTTTATAAAAAAAAAAAATTTCCCCTGGTAGAGTAATATTTTATGCTCTACAGGTACATTTGGTAGCCTAACTTTTTGTCTTTTTTTTTATTTTTTTTTAAGGTTTTTTACTCCATTTTGGATCAGATCTACCACGGAAAACATCCACTCAAAGGTTCAACAACAGATATTTTAAAGGAAACCCAGGAAGAGTTTTATGGGTTACCATATGTACCGCAAACCGTAAGTATAGCTTTGTGTATCATTTTAAGGGTTTAGATAATATTGAGTTATAATATACACACATGATAGTGCTACTTGATATAGAAGCTAAATCCATTGGTTAAAATAATTTACAAACTGTGGTAGCAAAATAGATTACAGTAAATGGGTCAGTTGTTGCTTTGTATACCTACCCTGCCGCATTTCATACGGATATAAGTGCCTTTAGGTGGTGATGTAGTAGGTTAAATTACTGAAATACTTTTGCACAGGTTCTGTAGATATACTGATTATCGAGAATTTTTATCATTATTTGGAAATCCCAATTTTATGTCAAATTATTTCATGTTTGAAGTTTTCTTAAATTTAGGAATTCCAGGCGTCACACTTTATTCAGCAATTCCAGATGTATCACACTTTTCTGTTTGTTGAATAAATCCCATAGCTGTTTGTTTCTATTTATTTGTCCTCCTTTGTTACGGTGAGCAGGGTCTGTCCTGACTTACTGTTTATCACTTGGAGTAATTTGCTCAGAACCAAAAGTACCTCCGAAAAAAAAAAAAAAGATTCGGAAAAATAGTATATATAATGCATTGAAAAGTTGATGTTGATCTCATCTCAATTTCTCTTTGTTATCGGCCCCCCATGTGATGCTCAGGAGATTTATACAGACAGAATATGTCTGCCACATTTCCTGAGAATGTTCAGTCACATTGCCATGAATGCTCAAACTTTGGTGGGTGCTACAGATGGTTGTCATCTATAATACTCATCTTGTATAAATGAGTTAATCTAGGTGTTGCATGTTATCCACATTACTATGTGGATGAACCTTACTGTTTGTGTTACATTACTTTGTGCCTAAAGGGACACTATAGGGTTAGAAATACAAACGTATTCCTGACCCTATTGTGTTAAAAACACTATTTAGGTGGCCAGCCCCTCTTAAATAGGGTTAAATCATACCTTTATTACAGCGCGGGTCCCTTGATGCTGACTCCACCACCTATCCCCTTCCTTGGCTCAGATTATCAGAATTGACTGTCTCAGCCAATCCAATGCATTACTATGTGTAAGCATTGGATTGGCTGAGATTGTTAATTCTGATTATCTCAGTCAAGGAGGCAGGGTAGGGGCCTGAGCTAAACGCTGTGATGATCAATTGGCATCTCCTCATAGTGATGCACTGAATCAATGCATCTTTATGAGGAATGTTCATAATGTCTGGGAGACCCCAGACATTAAGCTGTAGTTGTTCTGGTGACTAAAGTGTCTCTTTAATAGAACACTCCAAGCACTAGATGCAGCAGTACAGCTCACTGTAGTGGTTATGGTGCCAGGAGTGCCCTTCTAAGTAGTCAAACCATATGACTTCTTACCGGGCCACTACTAGCACTTGATAGCCAGAAGCTGCTAAGCATTAGCTTGTTGGCTGAGAGTGATCATTGTTAAGGGAACACTATATTGTTACAAACCTAAACTTCAGTGAAGCCTATTTAAATTGTTTATCCCCTGTGATTCCAGTGCTTCTCTATGGAAGCTGTGATTTTTTTGTGCCCTAGCATTAATCAATCAGGAAGAGCACCCTTCCATGTTGTCAAATAGCTGGGGAGAGTGCTCCATAGCTGGTTAAAGAGGCACTCCACTGCCCACAGGCAAAAAAACAATAATCACAGCTTAGTAGATATACCCCAATGAATACATGCGTTAAAAGAGCTTGCAAAGGCTGCAGATCTTATGAACTGCAGCCTTAGCAAGCCCTCCCTTTTTCCTCATTGAGAACCCTCGGATTTGGTGCATACTCATGCGCAACCACATGTCTAGTCTGAAGTCTGCAGCCTGTCTGAAGCCCGTGAGGGGGAGGCAGGCACGCTCAAATAGAGGTATTCCTGCCACTTCTGTTAGCTCAGGAGCGCTAACGAAAGGAGGCAGCAAACCTCCCTGGGTGTTTGATTGACAGCCAGGGGGGTGTTCCCTAGCAAATTTATAAAAGTGCAGATTTCTCATAGAAATCAGCACTTTTATAAACTGGGGTTAACCATGTTACTTTTACCCATAAAGCACTTCAGCAAGCTGTATATTGTAACTATAGAAAGCTCCAGAGTTATCCTTATCCTTATTATAGCTATGCTCGTTCTGTTCTTTGTGGATAATAAATTCTAAGCAAAGAAATTTAAGTTTGTATTTTAAGATTTTGTTGTTCCGTTAATGAAGCTAAAAGGCAAAAATAACTGAATGGTGTTATTTTTAACCTTTTCTTTATTTTAATCTATTTAATGATGTATAGTTTATTAGGTTCATGGAACCCTACATGCCTTACTTATGTAAATCATGCTTTCTTCACTTCTGCTGCTGTATTTTCATAGGCGAGTATCAGCAAAAAGCATTCAGGAGCCTCTGGTTGTGATCTACAGGAGTCTCCTCTTAAAGGGATTCTGTAGTGTTAGGAATAAAAATCTGCCTGGTGGTATCCAGTAGAGGCTGTCTTAGTGCTGCAATATAAACATTGCTGATTCTCAAAAAGGACTAAGGGGGACAGGAACACTGCACCCATACCACTTCAATGAGCTGAAGTGGTCCTGGTGCCTATATGCTCCCTTTAAACTCTGAGCTAGAGGGGAAGGTGCAAACTTTGTAGTTATAAGTAACAATATGGAAGTAGATTGCGGCGGGGGCCTCCTTTTGTCATAACTTGTGCTCTAGCCATTAGTAGTTACAATGCTTTGACTGCCCCTTCACTAGCCTATATTGAACGTACCATGTATAAAGCACATATTGCAATAACATATGGCTCGTGTCTAAAATGACGTAAGTGGTTAATTGGCTGCTAAATTCCTATTCTCTTCCCCCAAACTAAATACATTCTAAATATTTACATTACCTGCCATGCTAAATATATTGATGACATTATAAAGAAAACATTGACATGTTGTGAATTGAACCTTTAATCTTTTGTTTTACACTCTTAACAAAATGTAAATTGTCTCTTAGCTGGTTTATTTTACTGTCTCAAACAAACTCATTTTTAGTCTGAGCCCTCTGAACCACTTATTTGATTTATAGATTCTCAGATTACTGTGTTGGAATTCATTCATTTTTTTTTTTACATTTTTTTTTAATGTCTGCTAAACATTTGAAGCCATCAAAATCCTAGCCTCTGCAATATAGAATCTAGTAAAGCAGGATATTTCTCATATTTTCACAGTTCTAAAAAAAACAAAAAAACTTGCTAAATAAACATAATTAAAAGCTATTCTTTAATCAGCCATGTAGGCCTCATTGTATGTTTTTTTTACCACCATGCTACTCCCATACATCACGTGCACAGCTTTTCATGCATCTTCTATACTGCGTCATGCATACATCACCAATCAATCACAATAATTTATAAATTGGCTTAACCAGGCTATGGGGTGCCACCATTACCTGTTTTTTGGGGCAGGGCCAGTTCCCTTTTATTAAGATTAGTATTATTATTATTATTGGTATTTATATAGCGCCAACTAATTCCGCAGCGCTTTTTTCAATGCAAGATGTATCTGCTCTCCTCATTCACCCATCGCTAGGTCTTTTTGGTATATTTTGGGGTTCCCAAAATGTAACCCACAAACGGTTTACAACCAACAAGGCTTTTTATATTTACCTCTGCACCATTTGAAAAACATTATGATTGTAATATTTTACTTCAGTTATTTCAATAGTGTAATATAGCCTTCCTCCCTTATCATTCTGGACAGCACTGCCTGTTTTAAGTAGCCTATTATGCACTTTACAGCACTGCGGAATATGGTGGCCCTTTTTAAATAATACCAGTAGTTCACTCTTATTTTGAAAATTATTTTTTCAGTTTTCTTTCCGTCCATGGCAAAATGCTGGATTTATTTACACTACAAGGCTTACAAACTCAGCAAAATTGCCTTTTTATTTACAAAAAATTAATTTAACAATATATTGTCTAATGTAACTTACTTTTCCAGTTGTTCAAGTGTAGCAGTTACAGAAAATAGTTTAATAAACAGATTTAAAAAAAAGCATCCACATATGAGTTGTTTAGGCAATGGAGTACTGAGTGGAATATGGAAGTGGACCTCTCGCTTAAGAGAACAGTTACTATTTTAATATTTAGATATGATTTTAAACTTACTTTACCACTGCCTCCTGAAAAATCAGTTTACCAGTCATTTGATTCTAATTGCATCTCATATGCTTCCTGAACTAAACCATGAAATGAGTCCTTATTGAAGTGAATGCTAATTTAGGGCAAAAATAGTCCAAAATGTATGGATGACAACTTGACAATCTGAGGTATATTTTGTGTTGGTGAAATTGCCAGCAAATGTAATGCTTCTTCAGAAACGTTTAACCTGGCAATTGCCTCGTCAACCTTCAGGATATTTTCTGGAAATGGACAAAGAGGCTGCCGAAGCTCTGACAGGTGCCAGAGGAACCCTGTTAAAGCATCTGCGAAAACTATGGAAAGCAGAAATTCATTTTGGAGGGTTATTCACTAAAGTTTTTTTTAAACTCTGTTCATTAAAGAGTCCTGTTTGTTCTGTTTCTTCAAATAGAGAATTGCTATGTATGCTTTCCCCCGAACATCAACTAGTAATCTCTTTCAAATGAGTAGTACATCTGAACATACTATAGTGGATGTTAGTCTTTATTGTGCTACGCATGCACAGTCACTGTAAAAAGGGAAACTCTGAGCCCTTGCAGTACTTCTCAGATTCCAAAGATTCAAGGAACACCATAACTTTATGAATACACAGTTTACATTGAGCCAGAGCATAACTGTAGGGAGCATTCAGCAGCTCCATGCAGAGCGTGGATCCTGCAATGATTGCAAGACCTCGTCCAGGAAGTCCCACTTGGGGCTGTCCGAGTGACAGCCGCTAGAGGTGGCCTTAGGGAGCAGTTGCCTTTTCTCAGCGGAGACAGAAAATTTGCCCCAGGACCAGTACATTGAGCTATAGTGGTTCTGGTAACTATAGGGCCCTATTAAATGTCACTGTGACAGGCCAGTGTTATGTTTGCGACCTGTCCTACAAATCAAATATTTGTACTTTTATTAAGTATATTCTATTATCAGTGTGAGTTACTAGTAGTAATAGCAGCTAGTAAGAAGCCCCTTTCTATTTACACATTGTATTAAATGCAGAAAAGAAACTAATAAATGCTAATGAGGCTTGTGTGCATAAAGGTTTAATCTTAGGCTCTTGCTTATAAAAACAGCCTCTGGCCATAGCATGGAAATAACTGTTATTTCGATCCAAAAGTGCTTTACTTTTAGTGTTTTTGAGCTGAGAGTGTCAGTTTTATCAGGGTGATGACAGCCCGGATTATGTTGCCAAGTGTGGAATGTATTGTACTTGTTACCTTTTCTAAACGTATATATAGCAAAGTTTACAACATAGTGTTTTCATATGATTTTCTTCTCCTTCAATCTTCTGCCTTGTTCCCATAGTAAGGGTTAAAGGGCATCTGTCATGAAATAATGAATGCAGGTAACCCATCATAGAGAACAAAATACCATTTTATATATGCAGTACTAGGAAATCTGCATTATTACATACATTTTATTACATTTATTTTTAAAAGCATATATATCCACATCATATGGGATAGCTATGTAATTGCTATTAATTTAAAGTTCTACACAATTTATAACTTAACTGTATATCTGCTTTAAAATATATTGTGACTTTGATGGGCTATTATCCACTACAAACAAACTGAACCTCAGCTGCGCTATGGGAGACGAACCTACAGTAAACGCAACTTACATCGCACTAGAATTAGTTTAACCCCTTAAGGACACATGATGGAAATATTCGTATTGTTAACAATAACCCACTTCCACACCTCAGGCGGCAGTCTGTAAATTTCTTCCATGATGTCACAGAAAGGTGTTAAATGGAATTTCTTGTGACAAGTTAATCAGACCAGGATTGATAGTATGTTGAGAGAAAGGAGCCATTTTTAATAGTTACAGGAGTGATCAGTCATGCTTCTTGGTTATATTTTAGCTACTTAATACCAAAGACAGACAGCAACTTAAAATGCAGATCACCTGTTACCATACCCTATAGCCCACCCGGAGAGCTCGGTTATAGAGGAGAGCTCAGCTGAAGCATACAGCATTGCAAATGAAGCAAAAATGGGGGAAAAAACATGTAACTCCCATAGATCCACATGTGATACTTATTTTGTAATATTTCTTTAATTGGAACTCAACTGCAGAATTTTCTGATTGTAGGAACAATAAGTTTCACCTCCTTTTATATTGAAGTGAAACAATGGTGACTGTATCTTTAAATACACATGCAGGGAAAAATGCAATGCTAATTCCAATTTGATTAAGATGGAATGAGAAATTTATTAATGAAGCTGGACAGGCTTGCAGTTTGAATAAATTGACATTTGCAGGAAGAATTAGCCTTAGTATCAATCCTTATTAACAAGAGAGAGTTTGGTGAAATTTAAATAGTGTATAAATTAATATGAATTGGTTTCTTTGGCAAAAGATATACTTAACTTAGAGGCAGTTTCTGGCACTGGAAGGGTTAATTCACCCAATGGAGGAGAAATTACGAGTCTCTATTAACAAGCTGAAAATTAGGAGTGGAGAGTGAGGAAGTCCGTTTTTACAAGCCGAGGTCTGGGAGAGGAGAAGGTAGAATTCCGTTTTACAAACCGAGGTCGAGAAGTGGAGAAGGTGGAAATCCGTTTACAAGCCGAGGTCGGGAGAGGAGACGGTAGAAATCCGTTTACAAGCCGAGGTCGAGAAGTGGAGAAGGTAGAAATCCGTTTACAAGCCGAGGTCGGGAATTGGAGCCGGTAGCATCAAGTAGAGCAGCTGATCTCAATGCAGCACCTGAGTGAATAATCCAGCCCTTTGAATCTGGCGCGGTCTTCCTAAGTATCGTGGAAGGACCGCGTCAGAAAAAAGGGGCGGGGCTAAGCACCGTGAACCCGGAAGTGGGTCCCGGCGGCAGCATGAATGCTAGAGTATACCTGACACCACATAACAAACAGGCAGTCAGTGGGTACCAAAAAATGGAAAAAGAAGAACACTACTGACATCTGAGGGATAAGGGGCAGTCTTATTATAATTGCAGCAATTATTGCAAAGGCTTTTGCTATTTTATTATTTGTAAAATGCAACAAATCCTGCATTTCTGTACAATTGGTGAACTTGGTGAACAGATGAACAATTGGTGAACAGATAAGTATTTGTAACCGGATAAGCAGATGAGTTGGACAAGGCGGTTGAGGACCCTTCTCAAATGAGCTGTTGTTTTATGACATGATAATGGACAATCAATATGAACTCCGGTATTTGATATGTCAAAGATTCAAACTGTTACTGCTTCTTAAACAAAATACAAATTGTTGTGTTTTTATTTGCTGTGTGTCCTATTTATGGTTAATTGAGGTTAAGAATGCCTGATTTTCTTTGAGGTTTTATCTTTAAGCTTTAAGAGGTTTTTCTTGATGTTGGTAGGTGTGCTTACACTTTAAACCTCTATTTTAGTGGGCAGATTTATTTATTTTTTGAAAAATCTGTGATAGGAAAGATAGCTCCAGCAGTATGACGGTATACACCCTACAGTGCATACTTGAAAACAAGGCTGCATTAAAAAAATTATTTAACTCCCAATTGGCAGAGAATTGAGCATTGGGACTATAGGGGCATAATAACACTGCTTCATTAAGCTAAAAATTTAATCGTGACTACAGTGTCCCTTTTAAAGGCTGAATTTGATTGACTTCAGCTTTATTTCTAAACTATATTATGCAACGTGTAAAACAGCAAGGTAATGTGGACAGAATCTTGGATGTAGGAGTCATTAAACAAACATGTCAAAGTGGTATAAGCACATTCTCCTTTTATCCATTCACATTGTATATTTAATTTTACTGATATTTTCATTTTTGTTTGAACTGCATAACCTTTTAATAAGTCTTACGTTCTTGGTGGTTGTTAAATAGCCCGGGATATGACGTGAATGCCACTGATTTAAGGAACAGATGTAAAGCAGACATTTCTTGATAATGTCATCCAGTTAAATAGAGGAGTCATCTAAAAGCAAAATCTATAGCAAACATATGTCAATAACCTGCTTTAAAAATAAAAATCTATGTGTGCAAAACACCGAACATCATCTGAGCACAAAGGGATCCTCTAGTGATACCTTTCCAAGTTGATTCTCCTTCGTCTGAATTTATTTGTCCTGCCTTATTAGGTTGCACAGTATGGCAGCCACTTCACATTCAAAATATTTATACATATTCCACTTAAACTGGTAAGCAGAAAGAAAGAATTGGTAGTAAATGTGGGATGCATAGTTTGCATGTGGAGTATTCGTTATTATATGGTGGTTGTGAAGGAATAGCCCCATCACTTGTTTCGGCTGATTTAGTGGATTTATATTTGTTTTATTTGGTTTGTTTCCACTTGGTTCGGTTCCCGAACAAGGACCACCCCAGAACCTCATTAGAACTTGGAACATTAAGTATCCTGTACGAAAACCGCAAAGGTAACAATTAATAGAATGCTCCACTGGGTGGCTGCTGTTTCGTGAAACCAAACGCACGTGGTCGAGGCAATGAATGTCGGCCATCTTGAGTTTGGCGCATGGATGACGGACTATTTTGGGCTTCGCAATGGCAATTAAAAACCACTGAACCGGTCTGAGGGATTTTTAGATATGCTGATTACTCATATCAGGGTTATTTGGGGTGTTCCAAAATTGTTGTACTTTTCTGTACCTGGAGATAATTGAGTTTGTACAGTTCCTGACTCTATTATCTCTCAGGCACAGGGAAGGCGTTTACTGACTGTATAAATTTGATTACTGTGCTCTCATTAAACAGTTCTACTCCCAGCATTAAGCATTGGCTCATGTGTGGGGGGATATGCAATACTGGCGATATTTCACTCAGGATTATTGGTGCTGCTTCCTTTATTTGAGGAAAAGGGAATCCGTGGCGGAGATACTTTGGCAGTCCGCCACAGTGATTATATAGTATGTCCTATTCTGTATAAAATACATAGGTGTAAAAGTGCAATATAAACAAAAATGGACAAATGTGCACAGGACTATCTTTTTCAGCAGCATAATGTTACACTGGGGAAAGGAGATTCCCAAAATTCCAGCAGAATGGCAAAAATAAGTTTGTGTCTGCCCCCACACAATTGCAGGCACTAGATTAGGGGTAAAAAAAAACAATAAAATAACCCATATAACAATCACCTTCAACTCACTATTTCGACTTCGCTATGTTCATTCTCACAACAAAAATGTGCCAGTTTATCAAATAGCTTGTTCTTGCTATAGTGCTATTCAAACACGGTAGTAATCATGGCACAGCACCACAGAATGGTGTAAATGTTTATACCATGTCACTACTTTAATTTTATGTTCAAACTCTGAATGCCAATGCGGTCAGGACACTGCACGCAAGTTCGATCTCAAACAGATAGTAATCGTTTAGACATGTCTGCCTGGCTTATTAGGCTTTCTAAAACAAAATGTGCAAAATTTTCCATGCCACTGTATAACCTATTTATGTTTAAATATGTAGGTGCGCTGTTGTGGCATACGAATGTGCTTTGTACTCACCTGCACAACAAAAATAAAGAATTAAAAAAAAAAAAAGTGTGTTTTACAAAAGTGCTTTAGTGAAAATATAAAAACAGCAGCTCTATACACCTGTGTGGAATACGCTCTTTTCCACAATCTTCTATAAACACAAGGTATTAAAACCTACACCATGAGTGGAGCGTTGGGATAATTGTATAAGGGGTAGCTTACCCCACGTTATCTTGATGAAACCATAAACATAAGGTACATAAAAGAGAAAAAAAAGTACAATATAGTTCAGATGGTTATGAAATTTGAATAAACTTTAATCATTGGAACACTCACATTTAAAATAGCCTAAAAATATTGGCTCCGTAAACTGGCAGCTTCAAACCACTCCACTTAATATTCGCTCTGAGAAAGATAAAAGGGAGAGAGGCATCCAATGTGTAGTATATCAATTAAAAACACCATAGATTATAAAATCGGTATTGAGCTCACATTCTTCAGAGCCTTAAAGTCCTGGCTCTAAGGGTAACCAGTATAATGCCTGTATTTATATTTCTTTGTACAAGTGTATACTTTACATTGTCTTTTTTATGTTTTACATTTATTTGTATAATACATTTTTGTAGTAGTCCATTGGAGCTTTCAGAATAGTCATTGGGGTGGTGCCATCCCCTTTATATTGGCACAATACTTGTTACCCTCAGAGTAAGGACTTTAAGGCTCTAAAGAAGGTGAGCTTAATACAAATTGTATAATTTAATTGATATACTACACATTAGATGCCTCTCTCCATTTTACCTTTCTCGGAGCGTATGTTAAGTGGAGTTGGTGTGATGTTGCCCTAAGAGCAGACAAGCCAGTTTACGGAGCCAATATGTATAAGCTTTTTAAATGTGAGCGTTCAAATTATTAAAATGTATCATTCAAATTCCATCAAATTTCATTACCATCTGCACTATATTGCACTAGTTTTTTTTCTATTTTATGTGCCCCTATGTTTAAGGTTTCATCAAGATAACGTGGGGTAAGCTACTCCTTATGCAATTATCACAGCGCTCCCCTAGATTAGGGATGCCCCAAAGGTAGATACCTAGATGTTTTAGAACTACAACTCCCATGGGGCGTTGTATGCCTTTAGATTGACAAAGCATCATGGAAGCTGTAGTTTTAAAACCTATGTGGATTTACCTTTTGGTCACTCCTGCACTAGATTATCTAATGCTTCAGGCTTTAATTGCAATTTGTTCAACTGCTTTATATTGCCTGAAGCAAACCCTCTCGCCATTTGGATCAAAGCATGTATATGTTAATATAAAATCGTGCTCATTAAAGTGACTACGCACCTGCTGTCTCAGAGTAGATTGACACAAGCGCCACCAATAAATACATGTTGAAACAGACTGTGGGCGTGACAGCCACAAATTGGACCGTGCTGTTTAGGTGTAACAACTCCATGTCCTGCTATTTCTAAAACTGAGACCCAATGGTGTGTATCCATAGGTAAATGCAAGTTTTGCCCAGGCACACCCTAATGTGGGGCCATATTGACCTCCCTGTCCCCTGCTTTGGGCCCTGTGGGTAATTTTCTTGGGTTTGGGTAAGTTCATGTTTTCTTTAGGAAAAATAAAAAAAATGATTCTCTGTATTCACCAAAACCATGCACTTTTCATTTCAAATTACTGGCAGAAGTTCAATACCTCTGCCCTACACTATGCTGTCTTGCTCTTTATTGTTGCTTGTCTCCAGCAAGTGTGGGATGCATGCATATCTCCCAACAAACATTTCTCTGTTGCAAACTTAACTTGTGATTACGTTTTGATGCAAAAACGACAACTACCATTTCTAAAACCTCGAGGTTTTGGTGTGATGATTTCCAGTCTCTGTTTCTATGTGAAATAAAGCATATATTGGTGATCTGTTTCTGAAACCTGTCCTCATTTACCGCTAGCAGGATTGGTTATAGGTTTTGTGAACAGCTGAGATAATTGCCGACTTAAAATAAATATACCAACACACTCACACACACTAAAAGCACTTAGGACTGTGACTCCCAAGTTGGGGGAGTGGCTTCAACAGATTCCAGGTGGGACATCTGAGGTTGCTGTCCAGAAGAGTGCAGTTCTAGGAACAGCTAAGATACTGCGCAGAACCCTCAAACTCCCAGGCCTCTGGCCCATAAAAAAATGCGTGGAAGCAATTGAGGTCACACACACACCCTTTGCAAGACCCGTTCTTTTTGCTACAGACTTTAAATCAGGCTGAACGTTATTACAAATAGGAACATGAGTGCATATTACATTTTATATTTTCCATAGAATTATGGCATAAAGTGTTTGAGCAAATTTGTTGCGTTTTAGATCCAATATGTTGGGAGATAGCTTGGAGGCATGTTACTCAACAGGTATGATGGCAATTGTGGGATGAATTAAGTCAATGAGTTTACTTTATATTTTTTAAGTGCATCTGTCACTGGGAAAATTACTTAAGGCCTCTTTTCTAAGATAGAAAAATGTATCTATGTGAAAATGTTTGTATATTTAATGTAGTGACCTCAGATGGCATTGCAGTAAATATGAGGGCCATTAGTGACTCCATGTGTCTGGCTGACACTGCAAACTTGAATGCCAAAAAATAAACCGATACGGTATTCAAACGCCCTTTTTTTATGTTTTTATACACACATGTTGCTGATATTGTGGCATTGCTGAGACTGACCAAAACCAGGCTGGTACTAGGCACTTATGTTATCTGATTTTGGCAGTTGTTTAAGGGGCAGTTAGTTATATCCCATTTCTATGTTTCCATCTGCACAAGTTATGTTCTAATTGTTTGTTTATTTCTCTGTTGCAGGCTTGGCACTTACGATTTAGCCATCTTGCAGGATATGGTGCCAAATATTACTCTTATCTGATGTCCAGAGCAGTTGCCTCCATGGTATGGAAGCAATGCTTCATGAAAAATCCATTCGACAGGTAAGTTAAAGGAGGAACTTTATTGGAAATCTCAACCCTTGCTCTTACACTAAGCACTTATTTATCTGAGCTGGGACCCTGATCGCCCTGTACAGATCAGCATGACCCCTTTTGTGTGTTTTGGGCCCTCTGCCAGTACAAGTACATGTAAAACTGTCAGTGCTGACACTTGGTGTTTATAAAGCCCTGCTATTGTTACAAGCTGTACCGGGGAGATGAGCCAGAGCTCATTCCTCTGTGAACCTCTGTAAATAAAGCATACTTCTAACATTGTTTGTTCTCAAAGACATTATCATAAACCCCTATCACAGAGGAATCTTGCTATTAAAATAATTTTGTCTGTTTACCTTACAGAAAAGTGTTCATCTAACTGGCATAAAATTATATAGCACTTTGCCCTTCAGTAACCTGAATTTTGTAATTCAATATATCCCTGTTAATTATTATTTGTAAAGCATCAACATTTATTTATTTATAAAATATTTTACCAGGAAGGATACATTGAAATTTCTCTTGTTTTCAAGTATGTCCTAGTCCAGAGAGCGTAGCAGGAACAGTTCTTATAAGAGTTAGTGATTATACTCAGGAGAGTATTGTGATATAGCAATCCCCAGAGTGAATGTAGTTCTCCAATCCCCCCAACATGAGCCAAGAATTCATGAAGCAGTCAATGAATCTCTCTTTAATGGGAGCCACACTTGGCCTTTTATGACAATCCCCAAGCAAGGGGTATGCCCACATGGACTTTGTTGGGGGACTCCAACACAAAGACACAGACCAATAAGAACAGTGATTAAATGCACAACATTCCCATAACAAACATACAATCCCTCCTCCCTGCCTGGGAGATAATTGAGTCAGATACTGTATTAACCCAATTATCTCCAGATAATTGGAGTACTTTTGGGGTTTTGTAAAAGACACATTTTACAAAACCCCAAAAGTACCCCCAAACACATTGTAGCCCCTGATAGCCCTGATCTGAGTGACCAACATATCCAAAAATCACCCAGATTAGTTCAGGGGTTCAGGAATTTCCAGGAAGTCACATTTTGACCAGGCGCACGCATGGTCCCGTGCCCAAAACCATTTCAGAGAATCAGGCTGTGCGGCCGGTCTACTTCGAGGATTCAAAATAACTTTAAAAAACTGAACGTAGCTGTTCGTGGATAAAGTCAGTGTATGTCTCTTGTTCGTGAGTTTATTCTTGCCAAACGGCGTTCGACTCCCGTTCGAATAGCCGAACCTCCATGGAAGGTAAAAGCTTAGCGGTGTTTGGGCCGTTGAGTGCCCGATTTGAGTTCCATGCACTCGACGACCAAACACTGCTGGATGCATTTGACTACACAAGATGGCTGCCACCACGTGTTCGAATGCCACTTCAAATGGCTTCAGGAGTTCGAAGTGCCGCTTTAAAAGTTTGAATGTTTCCTGTTAGAAGTCCCAGAGGCACAAACAGTGTTTTTAGACAAAGTCTACCACAGGGCCATAGTCACAGGGCAGGAGGCTGGCAAACAGGCCCCTCCAAAAGCCAATGGCAAAGTTACTTTCGTCACAAAAAGGTTCAGTGTCTGGCGCTGAAATGTTAGTGTGATTCTTGCTTAATGGGACATTATAGTCACCAAAATAACTTTAGTTTTCTAAAGCTGTTTCGGTGTACAGATTATGCCCCTGAAGTCTGACTAATCAATTCTCTGCCACTTAGGAGTTAAATCACTATTGTTTCTGTTTATGCAGTCCTAGCCACACCTCCCTAGACTGTGACTTACACAGCTTGCAGGGAAAAAAAAAAAGTTAGATTTTTCAATCAGATGTAACTTACTCGTTCTTAATTTTAGCTCCTGCTCTGTAAATTGAACTTTAATTACATACAGGAGGCTCCTGCAAGGTCTAGCAAGCTAATAGTGCAGGATACATGCTGTGCAATAAAGGAAGTTTAAACAGTAGATTTAAATTTACAGGAAGTGTTTAGGAAAGTTGTGCAAGTCACATCTAGGGTGGTGTGACTTGGGCTTCATAAATAAGTGATTTAATGCCTAATTGGGAGAGAATTGAGAAGTAAGACTGCAAGGGCATGATCTATATGCAGATACTGCTTTAATAAGCTAAAATTGGCCTAAAATGTAAATTCCAACAGCTTATTATTAAGTAGATATAAGAAAAGAGGATGGGTCAGGTTGTTAATTGAGTTTGGGGGGTAACACCTAACTATGAATATGAAAGCGAAAAGAAAGGGAGGATCGGAGGTGGAGACTGTCTCATACCACACGAACCTGACCTTTATAAATGGAAGAGCAACCCATAAATAATTTTTAAAAATAACATTTAATTTAATAAGTATAGAAAAAAAAAACAAGAATTGGGGCGGAGCCTGACTGCCAAGCAGACTGGACGTCTCCTAAACTTGGCAGAGCTATTAATCAAATTATTACAGGCAAGCAGCAGATCAATCGGCAAAACTGCTCTTATTGATTAGTGGGTGCGCTGGGGAATCGAGCGACACTAAACATGGGGCTTCCCTCAGCTGGATTGCCCGAGCTGTAAACTCAGTGGCCTACTAGCAGGGCTGGCGTCTGAGAGAAGGCCACTCTCCTAATGCTGTTTCCAGTTAATTGCATCTGACCGATGATCTCGCAGTTGTAGCCTCTAGTAACCACTCACTCAGACCGCGTGGTTACCAAGATGGCAGAGAGTAGCACCAGAAACACAGCCAAAACCCTGCAATGGCTGTATCAGGACTATAACGTTATTAGACACCGCATGCTTGGGCAGCTAGTGCCCACTTTGGGTATACGGTGACAGTCCCTAGACAATGTCTCTCAGCCTACTTCATGGGCCCTTAAGCTGAGGACCCTCTATTAAACCGCACCATGTTTCTATATTATGGCCCTAGCAGTTTAAGTTTCATTGCTACCTGATGTTTAGCATGTCTATTTTAGGTAAAAATTATCGCACAATGACAACCTACTGTATTTTTTAAGCAGCTCCTTTGCAGATTCTATACATTTACATATAAAAGGACCTTACGTGAATGCTACAGACAATGTGGTGGGGCACAATAGGCTTTTTATGAACAACTATAAATATTTTATGCGGTGTACCTTGTGTTATCACCAGCTTTAACCTCCTAAGGACCAGTAAATATTTGTCTGACAGCCTGGCTTTTAAAAACTAATTTTTTTAACATGGAATATTCTACATCAAGCATGTCAAACTCAAAAGCTAAGACGGGCCAAATAAACACGGTTTACGTTTATGTGGGCCGCAAAAAAAACAACCAATACTTCAGTTTCCATAGAAATATAGGTTTATTTAGAAAAGTACAGTATAAAAAAAGTTTCCTAACTGAAACTGGATGTCCTTGCGCTCGTAGGGCTTCAAAATAGATAAGGGCGAATTTATTTTAAGAAATGCATTTGCATATAAACGTTTCAGTCCAACTACCTTGACCTATTAAGAAATGGGACTGAATAGTGAATGTATGCTGTTGCACAGCTGTAAAAAACAAATAGTTTTCTTGTTGATTTTCAATTTCTATGAGTGTGTTCTTCACTTTGGCTGAGATCATCAAACTTGATTATCACAGCCAATCCAATGCTTTCCCATAGGAAGGCATTGGGAGGCTATTGTGCATGTGTGGGGAAAATCTGTACGGCCAATCAGAATCTCTGTGGGGAGCATTCAGGGCCTCCATGCAGACCCAATCTAACACACTGCCCCTCTTCCCACTCTAATACACTGCCCACAAATCCAACACACTGCCCCTCCTCCCTCCACTCATCCCCTCCACCATACACTGCCCCCTTCACCCAATCTAATACATTGCCCCTTAATCTAATACACTGCCCCTCATCCCTCCACTCTAATTGTAAAGACTGCCCCCATTCCCACCACTCTACTTTTATACGCTGCCTTCCATTTCCCCAATTTAACACACTGCCCCCTACCACACTAACACACTGGCCCCCGCCCTTCCCTAAATTAATACTCTGCACCCTCCCTCCCATTAATATACTGCCACCACTCCCCAATTTAATATACTGCCCCCCTCCCCCAGGTTTTTACACTGCCCCTTCCCTCTCTTAAATTAATACACTGCCCTCCCCCCCAATTTAACATACTGACCCCCCCACCACCACCACCACTCTGCACTGCCCTCCCCCCAATTTAACACACTGGTCCCCTCTCTCCCTCAAAGTAATACACTGGCACCCTCCCTCCCCCAAATTAATAGTGCCCTCTCCCACCCTCAAATTAATACACTGCCCTCCCTCAAATTAATACACTGCCCTCCCTCAAATTAATACACTGGGCCCCCCCTCCCTTCCCCAAATTAAGACAGTGCCCCCTCCTACCCTTAAGTCAATACAGTGCCCCCTCCTCCAAATTAATACACTGCCCTCCCTCAAATTAAGTGTCCTCTCCCACAAATTAATACAGTGCCCCCTCCCCCAAATGAAGTGTCCCCTCCATCCCCCAAATTAATACAGTGCCCTTACCCCCAAATTAATGCAGTGCCCCCTCCCTCAAATCAATACAGTGCCCCCTTCTTCCCTGTTGTCTGCTTGAAAGTCAGCGGGCTGTAATTAGGTAACTTTATAAAAGTGTCAATTTCTATTGAAATCGGCACTTTTTGCAAAATGAACTAAAGAGGACACACTCTTAACACACAAAGCTTTTCAGCAAGCTAAAATGCATTAGGGGTCTGGAGTGTACCTTTAAGGACCAGACTTTGCTAATTATTATTATTATTATTTATAAAGAGCCAACAAATTCCGCAACGCTGTACAATTGCATAGGTTCACTCTGATTCTTGATGAGTTTCATATTTATGAACTCTGAATGACAACCACTGAGCGCAAAGTTGTGTTGTGTATATTTTGCTCTCTCACCCTCTAAATCAAGGAGGTATGTTCGATTTTCTTGACCCACCGGCACTTGTAGTGTTAAGGATTATCCTAGCAGTGGACACTCTATCAAATTGCGTGAACTCTTTGGGGAATGTATCTTAAGCATCGGCAAAGATTTTGATATCAAATGTATCGAGCATCATTCAGCATTGTGTAATTTGAAAGGCTGGGTACATTTCTTTAGTCTTTGTGGAATGAAGGCATTCTTTGTGTCATAGTGGCAGGTCTGCTTTAGTCTGCATCCTTGTCTGTGCAGTAATGAAATATGAGCTCATCCCAACATCTTTTAATGAAAGGAGAAAATGCAGGTGATGGTAACCAGATCTATATTTTCCTTTAGGGTGATGGGAGAGCGTTATCGTCAGGAGATGCTGGCACATGGTGGTGGAAAAGAGCCCCTGCTCATGGTTCAAGGTAAGCAGAAAGCACAGGAATGTTTGATCATCAGATCTCATTGTCTGTTCAGTTGAGCAGAACCTATGTTTGACAAACAACATCTGTTGTGTTTTGATGGTTTCAATCGTTTCACTCTGTTTCTATTGTTGACCTTTTCTTTCTTCATATGCACAAAGGCTTCGTAGCAGATCTCCATTTTTGGGAAGCACAAGCATTTGGGCTTTCTATGTGTTGTAGGCTCATGAAGTGTATCGGAATACCGCATGTTTTACAAGGACACCAAAACCCATATACTCTAGTTCCTTGCACTACTCATTGCCCAAACAAACGCATGCTAAATTTGCCAAGTGTTCAGTTCATGTAGTCTCAATGTAATAACATTGTAAGCTTATTTTTAAATAGTCTATGGGCCATCAGAGTAGCAAAGTGTTAGAAGTTTCATGGTTAAGGAATATAAGCCACACATTAGCATTAAAGGAGTGAAACAAGTAAGACAAAGTTCAAGACAGTGTAAGCATAACCATGATTTGTAGATTAAATTAACAGATGGGAGGACTGAAAAAACCCCAAACGTAAACAGACAAAGTGAATTTATTCTTTGGAAATGTCGCGGGATGCATCATGTCTTTGAAGTTCACACAACAGAAAAATAACTTCAGCAAAAATAGAGAGATTCAAAACACCCTTTGTATTTATTTTTTTTATAAATTGAGGGGGGGGAGGAAAGGGGAATTATTTGAAAAGTTTATCACAAAAAGATAAATCATGGCTATAAGTGTTGTTTACTGGGCTGTTACTTTTGGGGAAGTGTGGCAAACCCAAAAAAGGCATCATTGTCAGTGGAAAAAAAATAGCAGAAAACATGTCTAGAATCTTTAATATTATTAACTCAAACATATTCCTGCAGCACTTGAAATGATATATTAGACATAGAAACTACAAGTGTCGACATACAGAGTAATGTTGAAAGAGACTAGAGGTGAAAAGGACACTGCTCAAATGAGCGTACAGAGAGATCTTCCAGCAGTTGTACACATCAGATCTGATAAATGCACTGCAAGGATCCAATTCATGTGAAACCTGCAGAAACATTAGATCATGTAAAAGTCCTCGTAAGTCCCATAATATAACGGCCTAATTTGCCGATGACATGCATTGGTGTATACTACTCCGTTAAAATAGGGAGCGATGTCCATCAAATCAACCTGTAAGAAATGAAAATGTTTTAGATTTTTAATCTTTCAAATTGTACTCCTTGTACCATTTGCCCTATAATTTCCAAAATGTATTTAAATATACCTCTATTTTTAGATACATTCATTGTGTAGAATTACAAGCAATAATAATTCTAATCAGGAAAATGGAAAAAACACGTTTCTTTTTGATGTCACTCTCACTGATTTTTATTGATAGTGTTTTTGCGCACTGCATGAGAGCGTTTGAAATGATGGCAGACCTGACATGTCAAAAATGTACTATTGTCAGTCATAAATACATGGAACCTAAAAAATCTTATGTTTAGTTGTAGATAACTTTCTAATTGTACGACCTCGTTTTCAAGTTGAAAACCTAGACACGGACTTTGAGATTTCTTACTTGTTTTTAGTATATTTAGTTTTTGTGGTTTTAAATTATAAATCTACATATGTCATAAAAATTGTCTGCTCCCGTCTGGAGTGCGCTTTTGATGTTTTTCTTCCATTAAATGTATGGATAACTGTCTTGATTTAATAGTCTACCTCTGTTCGAAGTGAATATTTTTTTTTTTTTTTTTTTTGCATTAAGACCCTTAGAAATAGTTTTTAAACACACCATATGCGCAAATCGCTAAAATGTATGAGAACCGTTTTATCCCATATTAGATCTATTGTTGTGGTGGGATTGAAGGGAGAAAGAATGACCTTTTTGACCAGTTCAATGATTGTTTTCTGAATAGCAAATTTAAAATAGCCTGGTGCTTTTCCCTAATCTTAATAATAACAGGAATTAACAACAAATAGACTGCTATGACTGTTAAGTTTCAGACTGAGAATGTCACATACAATATCCTCACAGCATGAAACCTAATTCTCAAGGCAGAGACTTTACCAGACAATGAAAGCTGGCTTTTACTCCAAAACATAAAAGGCGCCAGTTGTTATTATAGACAATAAACACTTTTTAAGTCTTTGTCTTGTTCTGTTACATTTTTTTGTTTTTGTTTTTGTTTTCCTCTTTGTGATGCTGATATATCATTTACTAAAGTTGTATTTGTATATGTATTGCTTTGTGTTTTAAAAGGGACTCCCTTGTCCCTTTGCCCCAGCGTCTTAATTCTGCAACACTCCTACAATTTTTGTCCTGCAAAAAAATATAAAATGTCAGAGGTAAAATCCCAACATGGACTTGGTGGCGTCATGGGGGACGCTATGTTAGCACTTGTGCAAATTATTAAAATCGCTTACTCCTTTAACATCACCAAATAAGCCAAGAGTCCTGATGTCAATGCAAACTCTATTAAAGCATAAAACCTTTTTGCTGTTAAAGCACTATTGCACAAATTAATAACATGACATTTCTACCCATGACTGGTTATAACATATTGCATTAAAACAATTGATAGTGGTATAGCCCACTAGAAGAGTATTCTTTTAGGCATAGCATAATCAAAATTGTGACATTTATAAATTATTTGGCGATGTGAACAATTTAATATATTTTATGTAAAATACAGAGATTTCTTCACCATACCTAGCTCCAGCTTTGTCATTTCCTCATCTTCGTGGGTGTAACTCTTTGTGACACCCACCTCTGGTCTGTCCTCTGCTCTTCTTTGATTTGTCCTGCTTGGAAACACTACCCCAAGCAGGACAAACCTCTGCTGACACGATGGCCTTGTTGCCGGCGTCTGAATGAAGTGTTAGTCATTTTGTTCTTAAACTCCCTGCCCAGCTCTAGCAGCACCAGAAATGGAGTTTCCATAGCAACCTTATTGCATGCGCAGTAGTTGCTCTGCATGGGAGAGAAGAGGGATCTCCTATGAGGGAGGTGTGTCAGTAGTGTATTTGACTGACACACAAGCCAAAGATTTGACTGAGAATTGGGAGAAAAACAATCTATAGACAGAGTCATGGACTCTTGAGGTTTATAAAGGTGCCTTTTGTCATTCTTTTTAGAAGTAAACCATCATACCTTGCTCTTGGAGAGCCCCTCGTTTCAAGATTCACTACTGACCCAAGTGTTATGCAATAGATAGTATGGCTCTGAGTGTGGTATAGATTTGGGTGGTTTAGCGGCACCTTAGAGAGGACGTTGTATGTGTTGTAGATCAAATCAAGTGTTTGATTATTTGAATATTTGCCCCTGTCTAAATTATCAATATAATTGTGTGCACGCTCCTGAAGTAAGTCACACAATACACAAGTTTCAGGTTAATGAAAAACTTCAGAATGTTTAATCAGGGGGGGCGGAGAACCCCTTATAAAGACAGAAATACGTCACATGCAGAAAACAAGATAACAGAGAGAATACATCCTTAATTGGTGAATGCTCAGTGTCTTATCTACTGTACTTCCTACAAGCCATGATGTTACTGTTATCATGGAGTTCTCCTCCAGATTTCAGCGCCATCTTGTAACATGAGGTAGCTAGTCGGTGGGAGGGGGAGTTTCTAGCAGCCATCATAAGTAAATATTGAATAATACTGATTACAGTTATGCAGAGTAAATAGACATTTTACTAATTCTAATATTTTATCCATAACGGTATGACTATCTATTCTAGACTGATATGCTTTAGAAATTGTATGTAATCCAGATTGTATTGTGCCTTTGGAACCTTAGTTTAACTTTATTTGGTTGTTAACTATGGGTTTAATATTTTTTATTTGTCCTTTCTGAAGATTGCAAGGCATATATTACCTTGTTTTACTAAAACCCACAAAATGATCTTACCAAATTAAGTGTTAAAAGCATGCAAAAAAATCACGCTGGGGCAAATCTGTTCATGGCCAAACAATTGCAACATTCATTACTGTCACCTTTTACACACAGTAGGACATTAGGCAAGAAACAGCATGTATTTTGGGGTCAAGCCTCCTCACCCCCTCCAGCTATCCTGCCTGTGTAAGATGAATCGTACTGAATACCCCAGGATTTCTATGTGAATTCCAGGCCGGATTAATTTCAAATATACTGGCGGTAGCGATGGAACAAATTGGATCAAACCCTACATGAGAAGTCTTTTTCACTCTGTGTTTCATTGATGTACATCTAACAAAATAGCCTTTGATTATTCTTATGTTTTGGAGATCTATATATACACTTTTCTTTTTTTCAAAAATCCTCCAAATTGACAGGTTTGACAATTATACTGTATTACTTTTTTTTTTTTCCCTGACTCGGTTATCATGTTCTGTACTTTTGATTCCAACCGCTTTTGATATAATGTTCTAGTAGCCCTCCCTCATTTGATAAATATAATCCTTATAAGATTATAAGAAAAATCAATTCCTGCAGAGCGATAAAATACAGCATAAGATACAGGATAAAACGGTGAAAGATATTGGAATGGCTAGCTTTTGATATCAATAAAAATATTGCTGAGAAGTGAGTACTGCCCTCCAGCTGCTTGTTCACCTTGAGGCCTTATCTTAGAGGTGAGCGTTGCCTTAGAATGTTGCATATTTCTTTTCAAATGTCTTCATGTTTTGAAATTTGCTTCCTTTACCGTATTGTGTTTTTTTCCCCACATACTGGAGATTTACTTTTGTGTATATACTCTCTAGGACTAAGTTCTGAAAATGAATTCCAACTTCAGTTCTTCCTGTTGCCTGTAGCTTTTCAGTGAATTTAACATCTTTTTCTAAATGTTATATTTTAGGTTGTCTTTTTAGCCCCTATAACAACTTTACAAAAGGCTTATTATTCAGTGTCAAACAAAAACGGTACCTTGTTTTACCGGTTCATAAAGGAAGTCTGTGTTTTGTTTACAAGCATCATTAAATGATATGCTCTTTAACATTTATTATTCATTTCTTCTGTGGTGAGATCCATAAAAGGAAATGTAGTTGTTGGAAGCAGTCAGCATCATCCCAGTGGAACAAAAAACGTAGATGTGAATTTTTAATTTATCCCTCTTTGCACCAGTGGAATAAGGAACAAATGTTGACATTTTATTAATATATCAGGACTCAAAATGTCTTCAGGCCATTGGCACTTAATTCACTACTGGTGGGTGCACCATGGATCCTCCAGGCATGCAGTGGCAAGTAACGTTCAATGCCTGGCTAGTAGCCAAAGACTTTGAATTCTAAGCCCTGAATATAGTTCCCTAGACATGGAACTTAAATGGCAGGGATATTGTTGAGGGTAAATTGCAAGCCATCAATCATTTTACATAGTGTTGTTAAAACCACAATACATCTACCTGTTTGCATGGCAGCTTTTACTCAACAGTGAGTTGTAATGCAGGAGGGGTGACCAATTATTTGCCACATCAGGGTCAAAATTTATAAAATACAAACACAGCAAGAAAGATTGGTGGATTGGCGCGTCACACCTTCAATAGCAACAATCCCCAGTGGCCACTCAAATACAAAGTGAGAAAGAGAGAATATAGGGGGGTGCAAATAGCATATACACTACTTTACTATATATTTACTGTAGTGAGTAAATCACCTCCTGATTATCCTATAATAAAGACAGTAAAAACATACATAGTATAATACTGTTATATAAAGTAGGAAAATTATTATTCATCTTCTATTGAAGCCAGAGCCAGCTCTATGTGGCTCTGTGTCTGTGAGTGACCCAATACCTTTGAATTGATTATTCCTACTTTATATAACAGTATTATACTATGTATGTTTTTACTGTCTTTATTATAGGATAATCAGGAGGTGATTTACTCACTACAGTAAATATACAGTAAAGTAGTGTATATGCTATTTGCACCCCCCCTCCCCCCATATTCTCTCTTTCTCACAGGATCAAAATTTATATTAAATAATACAGATTGCACTCACATTAATTTGAATACATTATAAGGGTGCTGGTGGACAAACTGACACTATAGATTCCATTCAAAACCATCTTCAAAGTGTCAAGTGTTATAAAATGACCTAACTTAAAGGGACCCTATAGTCACCAAAACAACTTTAGCTTAATGAAGCAGTTTTGTTGTATATATCATGTTTATATAACATTCTCGTTGTTCAATTCTCTGCCCTTTAGGAGTTAAATCACTTTGTTTATGCAGCCTTGGTCACACCTCCCTGCATGTGACTTACACAGCATTCCTGAACACTTTCTGTAAAGAGTCATGTAATGTTTACATTACATTTATTGTGCATTCTGTTTAATTTAGAATTTATCTCCTGCTCTGTTAAAAGCTTGCTGGCCCCACAGGAGCCTTCTGTATGTAATAAAAGTTCAATTTACAGAGCAGGAGATACAAACTTTTTAAAGTAAGTTACATCTGATTGAAAGTGAAACCAATTTTTTTTCATGCAGACTGTGAGTCACAGCCAGGCGAGGTGCGGCTAGGGCTGCATAAACTAACAAAATGTATATATCTCCTAAATGGCAGAGAACTGAGCAGTGAGACTGCAGGGGCATGATCTGTACACTAAAACTGCTTCATTCAACTAAAGTTGTTTTGGTGACTATAGTGTCCTTTTACATTAAATAATCGGCATTTTAAAAGCACAGCTCCCTATCATAGATGCTTTGTTACACCATCGGTGAGCATTGGCATTTCATTTATCGCACCGAGCGGATAAATCTCAAATGAGCACTAGAGTAGGTTGTTTAGGATCTGTCAAAAATTGGGTGTTTTGTAAGCAGTGGCTTTTCCTATTATAATCCTGGGAGATTTTTGTAAACTTGGTTTTATAACTGATTTAAAATGGAGTGTATGTATTGCATTGAAATTATGTTAATACGGACGCTTTATTCACAAGTCCTATTATAATGTGATATTGTAGTTTATTTAGTAATCATAAGTGAAAAACATTGATGAGCAGTCCACTTTAAGACGCTATCATACACTGGATTCATAGCAGTTTTAGTGTGTGCAATCTATATCTTTATGTTGCCATTGTATCACTTTTATCAGCATTTGATGTATTCAGTAGATGTCCTTATCTTTTCTCTTCTTAGTCCAGTGTGTTGTCTGCCAGATGTTCCGTTCAGTGAATAAATATTGTCCTGTAGAGTTCTGGCAGTGTATCACACACCATGACAATCAATATTTACCAAATCACACAGAGTCTCATGCATCGCTTCCTCGTTCCTCATTACTACGAAAACTGGGAAAGGAACGGTTATTGTCAGTGACATAATTACATCAATTATTTCCTTTCACCAGGGTAAAAACATCAAAGCAGGGAAGGTGAGTCTCACCATCGCCCTGGGGTTGGGAGAGACCCATCAGCCATGACTTTTAGCACATAAATATTCTTTAAAGCATGGTAAAGTTTAGCCACTGTTCTTTGTAGTCAATTGTTAATTATAGTTTAATGCCTAAGGAGTGTGCAACGTGTTACAAAACAAAAGTGATACATCGCTCACTCCCCTCTGGCACTCTGAGATGGATATAGATAGGTGCGTCAATGTCTGCTGGTGAGACCTCTGCCCCATGAATGAAACACTTTGTCCTGAATTGATAACAGGTCTCATAGCTTTAGGATAATCCCTGGGTGACTTTATACGTTTTGGAAATTACTATTCCTATTACTCTGACAGGGGGTGCTGAATAATTTGAGGAGTTATTTCCCCTGGAAAGAGTGGCCATTTTTACTAGAACAAAAGTGTTTAAAAATGTGCATACACTATGCACCATTTTATTTTTTATTTTTTGTCGGGGGGGTCTTTTTTTTTTTTTGGTATATGTTGACATCTGATATCAATGTATGTAAATTGGTTCTGTTTGTGTTTTTTTTTTTTTTTTATATATAGTGGTGCACTATTGGGCTATTCAGAATTCATCGTTACTGCTTTATTGTTAAAATGTAATGGATAAATGATGCATGTAAAATATAAGTTCTAGTGAGTGAGAAGGTAACTCCGTACCCCCAGAGTAGTCATTGGAATGTGGTAGATGTAGAAAATAGCAACACATCCCTGAAAACAGTCATAAGATCTGTATGTCTCCAGTTCACAATACTTACCCCGCAGCTAAGGATTTTGGGTTGGAAGATGCTGACATGATTGTCTTTAACCTCTGTATATTCATTTTATGCATGAATCTCTTCGACAGGCCATTTATGAAAGGAATGTCTACCAGTACACCCTCTAACATGATCTTTATATCGACTGTGGTTATAAACAGAGTAGATGGACAGGACCAAGTATACTGGTATATGTCATCATTATTTGGCTGCAGTGTAATTGTTGTGTGTTAAAGATATCTGTGGGTTAAAATAAACAGACTTAAAGGATCACTGTAGGGTCAGGAACACAAACATGTATTCCTGACCCTATAGTGTTAACACCACCATCTAGCCCCCCTGGGACCCTCATGCCTCCATAAATATAGTAAAAATCTTACTGTATTCAAGCCTGAAGCTGTAAATCTCCTCATAGAGATGAATTGAATCAATGAATGTCTATGAGGAAAGTTCAGTGTCTGCATGCAGAGGGAGGAGATACTGAATCACAGGATGCTGTGCACAGTGCTGCCCTGTGCTCTGCCGACAGCAGATCTGAGTGGATTGAGGCATATTATGCCTCCATCAACTCGGAAGCCCCTCTGGTTCACTCTGAGTGACTGCAACTGGAGGTGTTCCTAGCTTTCTACATAAACACTGTATTTTCTACATATTTATTGATTGTAATAAGATTTAAAAATGCTACCAGCAATAACCCAATGTGCTAAACATACACAATAAAGTGGAGATCAAAGTAATAAAAATATATATATACACGTTAATAGATAGACTCTGGTGTCAGAGATATGTAAATCGACAAAAGCACACGTCTGTGCTAAGTGAAAAAAAGAGGGGGGGGGTGGCAGCTTTATGGGGTATGATGTGTATATTAGAGTGATACAGTAAGTATATAAATATCAGAGCTTGCCCAAGGCTTTATGGTGGTAGGAGTAAACCAATATTGTAGCACTACCTCAAATGTGGCAGAAGGCCAAATAGAACATGCTACACATGTATCATCTCAATCATAAAATGATACAAAGTGTGCTAATTGCAGAGCGCACTCACATATGGAGTTCTAATAGACTCAATAGTGGCCAGCAATTTCCTATCAGCTGAAAGACCGCTGGTGAATACTGTCCAGTTAGATCGAATTAGACCCATGATGTAAGTGGCAGTGGAGTACAAGATCACCTACCTATATGCCAATGGTGATGAGTAATATCACACTCTCTCCCCCATTGGGAATGGGATACAATTAGTGTATATACTGCCGAAATTAGAAGCTCTGTTACATTAATTTACATCTAACCAAGGTCTTGAAACCATCTTAATTAGACACCATGCATCTACAATGAATTCAAGATGAATTTCAAAATTTAGAAGAATTCTCCAAGTTAATTATAGTTTTCCTCTTTTTGGCCTTAAATTTGAAATTCACTGTAAATTTCCAGCAATTCTCACGTTAGTTAATAATCCTGTTAGTCTGATACCAGCTGAACTCTGGTCGTTATAGTACGTTGCTAAACGGCTACCCTGTATTCTAAAAACTGACCAGGTTTCCATAAAAGGTGAAATTTGCACTGTGCGTCTTAATGCCAAGCAGTCTAAATTGTCTGCACACTCTCACTCAAGTGCTTCTGGGTTTTTTTCTTTCTTAACCACCAATTTTTAGTACTTTTCATGGACTCCCAACTCTTTGGTTAATGACAGGTAAGTAATTCCTTATGAGAAGAAAAAAACAAAACACAAAAGTGAAAACCTCTGATTCTTTTTAATGTTTTATCCGTCGTTCAGCATTGCCATTATAAGCTTTTGGCACTGTATTCATGTTTATTTTATAGTTTACAAATCATGCCTCTCCTTTCTGTAGCTGTTTTGAAAAACCTAAATGAAAAGTCAATTTGAAAATTTTTATTGAAGTTTAGTTCTGCATCAGTTATAATACCAAACGTGATCTGGGCCCTGATGTTCCAGCTGTTGTGGAATACAGCACGTTTTCTAATTAGTTACCTATGAATTCTTGTCACATGGATGTACAACGACAGGCCCCCTCTGTGACACTCAATCAGATATGGATCTAAGTGCCTTTTCTCATAAATGCAGGCCAGAAAGGGGAGATTTCACTCGCACGGACTAATCCAAAGAAACTAAATGTAATTAACTGTTCTGAGATTTATATGGATATTTACATTTCTGTTCAGTCTAGAGCAATATTTTAATACTGGCATTCAACGGCATATTGTTATTTTCATGTTCACACTTGTATGGAGTATGCATCCTAAAGAAGCCATTTCTGGATCTTCTCATTTTGGCCAGAGGCCCTTATTATAAGTAACTGTTGCTGTTGTCAGATGCTGTATGCTGGAGACAACCCTTACCAAAGCCAAATAGCTCTGACTGTGTTTGTTCAAGGATATAGGCTAAAGTTTGTATTTTTAATATATGCAGCCTGTAATTTATGCAGAAAGACGCGGAATTGTTGAAAGCAGTTTATTTTGCAAGATGTACCCAAGGTGTGTCAGAAAAAAGGGTCATATTTATCTTGGCAAGTGAACCTTTTTATACAAAACCACTTCAAAGCAGCAGCATGGCCCTACGTACAATGCTTAGTACATTAATGCCAGGCTGGAGGGAGGAGAATTGTTTTAATCTTCTTCTTTCTACCAAAGCATTGAACACCATGTTGCTAATAATCTTACAATATGTTTAGTGTGTGACTGTAAAACTGGGCAAACGAAATGCATTTTTTATTTTATTATTTGCAGGTTATGGCTGCTTGACTAATGCATGTGCCAAATAGTCTTGCTTGTACGCATGTTTCCTATCTTAAAACATACACAGATCACCTATAGGCAAATGTATTTTTTTTTTTTTTTTTTTAATTAATCTATGGAATAGAATCCTAGTTTAACAGATCTTGCCTATGTTTTGGTTTGCACCAACTACAACACAAGGCTAAGGACCAGAAAAAAAATAAATGATAGTATATAGGGGGGAAAGGCAGTGTGGTGCAGGTACATTTGTTATAAGATGAAAACAGACCATTAAGTATCTTCCTGAAACATTTAAACACATGCACTTACATTTTTATATTTTATATATAGCTTGTTTTAATCATTTATTTTTAAACCTAGCAAGTGGAATTGAGTATCTAGTGATTAGCTGGTAACTACCCAACATGGATGGGATTTTGTGTTGGCACAGAGGTTTGTTTAAAGGGCCACTATAGGCACCCAGACCACTTCAGCTTAATGAAGTGGTCTGGGTGCCAGGTCCAACTAGGGTTAACCCTTTCTTCTATAAACATAGCAGTTTCAGAGAAGGGGGACCCTGAGGGTGGGGGCACCCTCAGGGCACTATAGTGCCAGGAAAACGAGTATGTGTTCCTGGCATTATAGTGGTCCTTTAAGGTCGCCTATAATTAGTTATGGTAATGAGATTTCATTGTAGGTGCTTATTCATTGTAATGCTTATGTCTCAAATATGTTGTCTAGTGATGTATAGGTTGTGTATGTAATATCCTTAGTATGAAAAAACAAAAAAAAGACTTTTTATTTATATCAAGTGTACATGAAATGGACCATGAACTTTATTTAAAGGGACCCTCTGCTGGCCAAATAAAAAATAATCACAGTTTAGTAGATATATCGCAAATTAAAACTTGCATGCATTTGATTATGCATTTTTTGTTCATTGGGGATATATCTAAAGCCAGCTTACAAAAGCAGCAGCTCTCGCTTGCCTTTGGAAACCCTCCCCTTTCCGTGACTGTCCAATCACAGAATTCCCAATGCAGCTCAATGAAGTCTTTACAAGGCAGGTGCTCTGAGCAACTGCTGCCTCTTGAGTTTAGCTCCACTGAGCTAAACAAACCAGGAAGTAACAGGACATGTCTTCTTGAAAGCCAGGGGGTGTTACCAGGTTAATTTTGAAAAGTGTCAGTTTCTATTAAAATCTGCACTTTTTGCAAAATAAAACAAAAATTAGAATTTACTCTTAACACACAAAGCTTTATAGCAGGGGAACATGCTTTCGGGGGCTGGAGTGTCCCTTTAACAGTACCAGTGTAGCGAGTGCCATTAAATCAGGAGAGTGCAATTGTTTCCGCCGTCCGCTGTTTTTGTTTTTTTCTGAATTGTGAAGAAACATCCCCAACCCTACCCAAAGGTGTTATGTGAACATAAAGCAACTCTTTTATATGCTGTAACCAGCTCTAAAGGTTTAGTCCAACATCTCCTTTAGAACTCTCTAGGATTCTATAGCTGAACTTGAGTGCTTCCAACCTGTACACAGCCATTAGAACCTCCACATTTGTCAGCAAGTTGTCTGCATTTTGCATACTATATTTTTCAGTGTTTCCTCAGCTTGTGTAGCTATCTTGACAGGTAAACTCATTCTTTGGGAAAAAGACATATAATAGTTTTATTTCAAAGTGTTTTGATTGTATCAAATCTTTACAATTTACAATAAGCTTGTCATTGTTATACCTGGCTAGTAGTATCGGACTTCAAATTATACGTTGTAGCTTATCAAATGCTGGCTTACAGACACTATTTTCGTGGAACGGATTTTCTCATTCTTTGTGCCTTCCATTTGCACTGGACGGTTCAGTTCAGTTCATTCACCTGTTCCTTTTGCAATAGCTCAACCAAGCTGGAATTGTTGATGTGCCACAAATGGAACGGTTACCCCCACCCATTAGATAATGCTTTAAAAGGAGTAAAATAAAAGTGGTATATCTGTAACTTCCAAAAAGCTCTATAAATTTCTTAACATGCTTTTCTCTCTATAAGTTTATAATTTGCTAATATGTTTATCTTTACTCCAGGCATGCTTCAGAAGTGCCCCTCGGTGGACGATTTTGTGGACGCGCTTGTTTCAGATTTGGATCCGGATTTTGAAACATTCCTCATGGACTCTGAGTAGCTGGATCAATCCATACAGAATTAATTACTTTTGGCACAAACACTTGACAACCTGTACTTTAATTTGTGCCTTAGTTTAAAAAAAAACATTAAAAAACTAGTAAAACCTGTTAAAGTTTTTAAAATCTATATTTTTTAATAATTAAAATTATTAAAACAATTAAATATATACAGTAATTTCCTTTTTTTTAATTTTTTTTTTTACTTCAACTGAAATGTTAAACCACAGTGTTCCTCAATGCTCATGGGTTTTTAAATGGCTTCCCAATGTTCTCAATTTTTATTTTATTTGAAGACGCAGTGGGGTGGTGTAGATATGTGGAAAAAACAAAAGAAGAAATTTTATGGTGTAGTATGTAGGTTATAGAGGTAAACATAGGTAAACCACTTACACTTTGTGAGAGCATAAGTTTGCGCTTGGGTGGAATAATCCCCGCCTAGAGAAGTATACAAAAAAACAATATGGTGTAGTATGTCAAACCGAAGAAGGGATAAAAATAAAGCTATAAATATTGCGCTCACATAGTATGGAGCCGGAACAGTGGCTCTCTGGATATGGCTTGGAGTGGTATGATCCCCACTCTAGGATATGTGTGTTGCTTGGGCCTCTCCATATATGGACATAGAAGAAAAATAAAAAAATACCAATAGTGTATAACTGGGACTAAAATACAAATAATATAACGTACTCACATTTGATGGAGCAAATACAGATTGCTCAATCCAATGGGCGTAGGTGGTTTTTTGTCCCCACCAAGGACCAGGGTGTTCATAAATCCAGCAGCGATCAATCTAGCAATATTTAGAAAAAAGGTCCCATCCAAGTATCTGAATAATATATAAATATTGTGAGAGAAAATGTGGTTTGGTAGTTGATGGCATATACATTAGGCCTGAGTTACTGAACAGCAGCCTGAGGTTTGAGAGTTAAATGTCCCAGGGAGAGATGTTAGGTTTGCAAGATGCATCACTGGTACTCTGCAAACCACGGGATGGGTCCCTGGGGCGGAGCACTTGGAGAGTAGGGTGGGCCAGTGCTCCAAAAGCACCAGCTGCTAATTAACCCCTTTAGACCGGAGGGCGTACTATTACGCCCTCTAATAGGCGGCTCTAAATGCCGCTGGGCGTAATAGTACGCCCTCCGGTCTTTCGGTACTTACCCGGTCGCCGGCGGTCCCACGCCGGCGATCGCGGTGGGGGGGACTCCCAGGGAGCCCCCCGCGGCACGTCCGTCCTCCTTGAAGCCCCCCGGCCGTGTGAGAGTGGGGTCCTAGCGAGGACCTCACAATCACATGGCCGGGATAGCTGGCTGCTGCATTGCCAGCAGGGGGGCTGCCTGTAATGACAGGTGGTCCCCCTGCTGGCTGAAAATAAAATTAAACCAAATAAATGGTGTAAAAAAAAAAATTATATATACTTAGATCATATATATATATATAATATATATATATGATCTAAGTATATATATACACATATGTACACCGTCTAGGTCTATTTTACTATTAATATATATAATTATATATATATTAATATCAAATTACACGTAGACTGATACTGATTAAATATATATATAATTATTGTTATATATATATATATTATAAAAAAATTTAAATGTAAATACGTTAAAAAATAAAATTAAAAAAATAATTAAAAATAAATAATTAAAAAATATATAGATGTGTTATTTCGTTCTAACTGTATTGTGAAATTAATATATATATATATATATATATCAAAATACACGTAGAACAAAATAATATATATATCTATATACATAAATATATACGTATATATCACTATATATACCTATATATAAATAAAAATATTTTTTTAAAATTATATAGATATATACATATATATATACACATACATATATATACATATATTAATTCTACATATATATTTATGTATTATTGTTACATAATTAGGTATCTTAATTACAATTAGCAGGACCTGCCTGACAACCCATGCCATAAGTAAAGGGAATTTAATTTGCTAGCACTATATTTAACCCTATAACTTTCCGAGACACCATAAAACCTGTACATGGGGGGTACTGTTCTACTCGGGAGACTTCGCTGAACACAAATATTAGTGTTTCAAAACAGTAAAATGTATTACAACGATGATATCGCCAGTAAAAGTGAAGTTTTTTGCATTTTTCACGCACAAACAGCATTACGCGGACAATATTATTGCTGTGATACTTTTTACTGTTTTGAAACACAAATATTTGTGTTCAGCGAAGTCTCCCGAGTACAACAGTACCCCTCATGTACAGGTTTTATGGTGTTTTCAAAAGTTACAGCGTCAAATATAAGGCTTGCGTTTCATTTTTTCACATTAAAATTCGCCAGATTGGTTACGGTGCCTTTGAGACCCTATGGTAGCCCAAGAATGAAAATGACCCCTATGATGGCATACCATTTGCAATAGTAGACAACCCAAGGTATTGCAAACGGGGTATGTCCAGTCTTTTTTAGTAGCCACTTAGTCACAAACACTGGCCAAAATTGGCGTTTTTTGCATTTTTCACACACAAACAAATACTAACGCTAACTTTGGCCAGTGTTTGTGACCAAATGGCTACTAAAAAAGACTGGACATACCCCATTTGCAATACCTTGGGTTGTCTACTATTGCAAATGGTATGCCATTATGGGTGTAAATTTCATTCCCGGGCTACTATACAATCTCAAAGGCAACGTAACCAATCTGGCGAATTTCAATTTCAAATGTAACGTGCTATATTTGACCCTGTAACTTCCCAAAACGCCATAAAACCTGTACATAGAGGGTACTGTCTTACACGTGAGACTTTACTGAATACAAATATGTGTATTTTATTGCAGTAAAAGCAAACAGTATTATGACATTGACCGTTAAAATGTCATGTAGAACTAAAAAAATTTTTAAAAATCGTATTTTCTCCCATTTTTTTCATATTAAATTATGTTTCATAGCTAAATATTTGATATTAAATGAAAGCCCTGTTTCCCTGAATAAAATGATATATAATAAGGGTGGGTGCATTTACTATGAAAGAGGTGAATTACGGTTGGACAGACATGTAGCGCAAATGCCAGGTTTTGTTTACATTTTTTTGGTTCAACAACATGTGTACATTTGGCTCCGTCCTTAAGGGGTTAAATACACTTTTGTATTCTTAAGGCCACTGTGTTCATTTAAACAGCGAATTAGCACACTTGGGCATACCCAGAACATGCAATTCTTAATAAGGGTGCTGCAGTAAAGATCAAAATATATGTAATATATACATTAATGGAATAGTACACACAAAAATACAGTATAATATATTGCAGGGCTACAAAAAAATCACTTAACTTAGCACATATGGGGACCAAATGGTGTGACCAAATCCCCATATTTGCTTGCTACAACAGGTAATTTAGGGTATTGTAGGAGTTTATACTGTATTTTTGTGTGTGCTGCTCTCTTAATGTGTATATTGAACTAGCTTTTCCCAGAATGATTTGCAGCTGCATGCTTTTAGGGAATTCTGGGTAATGTTAAACTCCAACTGGCAGACTGAGCCAAGACACCTTTGTTGTGATGAATAGATTCTTAAACATGACTTAAGCTGTTTGTTGAAAACGTCTTACTGTTCAAAAGCACATTCTCATATACTGTAATTACATGATTGTCTCAGGAACGCTAATAATCAGAGTTAATACATTTTTCAGCCATATGAAGAAATACATCACCAAAACCTGTAAGACTGGCTCAGATACAGATATAGACATTAATAAAACTATAATATACTAAGTATCAGTTCTTCTACTATTCCATTAGGACAACGATCAAGCCAGGTGATAAAACTACCAATTAGAAGAGGTGCTATATGATGCATTGATTACATAAAATGTACTGCAACTTATAATTAGTGGAAATTGCCTAGAAAACTGTCTAGTTGCTCATGCATTTATTTGTTTTCATTCAACACATACCAATTATAATACATAATCCACGGCATACACATGAAATCTGTTATCAGCAGCATCCTATGCATGAAGCTTGTTAATCCAGTTTGTGACCATATGCAGGTGGATCCTCGTGATTCATACATCTTTAAAATAGATCTATCATTATTGTATATTAATATGTCACATTTATTGAAGTAATAGTGTATATGCAACGATGACATAACAGAACTTCACGATTTTAGCAATGCATTTCACTGATAAACCTTTTTGCAAGGGTACAGATTGTATTTTGTTTCATGCTTTACTTTTGGGTTTCTAAAAAATGGCAAATATGGCTGCAGCAATGGAAACGGAGTGCCCACTGTATGATCAGGAATTTGGACAGCAGTGGTAACAAAGTTAAAGTGATACATACTATAAACACTGAATTTAAAGTACATTTTAAATTCCAGGCCAAAATAGCCAAACTTAAAATATAGCTGCCTTGGGGAATTTTTTCCAATTCAGCTATTTTGACCTAAAATTTTAAATGCACTTTGAATTCCCAGGAATGCACACTTTAGTGAATAACCCTGTGTGTGTCCTTCACCTTTAATTCATAATACATGTCCTATCTGTCTTTTTTATTATTTGTGTTAAAATAGCTCAAACTAGCAATACATATGGAATTAAACAGATAACATATGTAAAAAGCACCATACTTGTTCCACAAACATTCTCGTATAACAAATCCTCCAATAGCCTTAGACTTGGCAGGACAGTCCAAATATGTATCCATGTCCTGCTGTCCTGGATTTGTTCACTGGCGTGCCACTTATGGGAAAACCAGAAAGAGGTCAACTATAGACAGGATCATTTGATGTGCTCACTCTTGTGCAAACTCACCTGCATTCTGTCCATACAAGAACACTTCAGAGCCTGGACTACCTTGAAGAGGTATGGCTATAAGGCAGCTTTGCATGCATGAGAGCACTTGCCATAGTTGCAGACCAACTATTCCCTGGGCCCCAGCATCAGAGTTCGCTGGGCTGATGAGTGAAATCTGTGATCTATCACTGGCACATGAAACATTAGAACACCCTGCAGGTGCCAGCTGCGGAAATCTTTTGTTTTCCAATCTTGGCCTAAGGCCAACTTGACTCGCTAGACGTTTGCCTGATTGATCCAATAACCAGGTTGGGCCTGCATATGATCTAAAAGCATGATTGAATTCTGATTTATTCCACCACAAGCAACGAAGATGACAATATAGGTGAAGCAAATCTTTAGGTGGTTATTTGTCCAGTAATACAATAGGAACAAATAGATATATGTGGCTGTTTATTTTAATAGTTCATATAAAAGACTTGCAGTATGAGGGCCAATCCCCAGGTGGGCGTGGTTATATTGCTAACTTCTCCCCTTCACAAACATAACACTTCTAGCCACACCCATATTCTATGAAAACCACTCCACCTCTTCGGGCAACCTAACTTCACCAGGTAACATGTCACCCACTTCCTACAGTGCCAGCTTTGCTAACAAACAGCTTATCAGTGCCAACTTTTTGCCATATTTGTGCCCAAATAGTTATTTAGTGTCATCTTTTTGCTCAAATAGCTTATTAGTGCCAGGGGCAGATCAGAACCTGTTGTCAGGAGTGGTACTGATAGTGGGCTGTAGTGGGGAGATAGGGGCTGTAATTGAGTAGTTAAGGTGTAAAGTAGGGGTCTAGAGGCTGTGTGGGGGATATGAGCTGCAATTGGAAGGAGAGGGACTGTAGTGGTGGGGAAGTTACTGTAGTAGAGAAATATGGGCTGTAATGAGGTGTATGGGATTTAAAAGAGAGGCTAAGGGCTGCAATAAGGGTTTATGGGCTGAAGTTGACTATAGTGGGGGGATAGGTGCTGCATTTGAGGGAAGACTGTAGTGAGGGATAGAGGCTTCATTTGGGAGTAGGGAGTGTAATGTGGTATACGGACAACACTGGGGTAAAGGACTATAGTAGGGGGATTGGAGGCCGTAGTATGGATAGTGGGATGGGGTCTGCTGTTTGAATATAATGGCTGTAGTTGGGAGTTAGGGGGTCTAGTGGGGGGTCAGGAGCTGCTATTTAAGTAAAAGGTCTGTAGTAGGTGGCTAGGGGCTGTTGTAGGGGTAAGGACTGTAGTAGGGTGGATCAAGGCTGTAGTAGGGGGAGTAAGGGGCTGAAGTAGAAAGGTTAGGGCTGTAGTAGGGAGGTTAGGGCTGTAGTACGGGTAGTTAGGGCTATAGCAGGGGTAGTTAGGGGCTGTAGTAGGGGGAGTAAAAGGGCTTTAATATGGAGGTTAGGGCTGTAGTAGGGGGAATAATGGGCTGTAGTAGGGGGAGTAAGGGGCTGTAGTAGGGAATAAGGGCCTGGAGTAGAGGGAGTAAGAGGCTGTAGTAGGGAGGGTAGGGCTGTAGTAGGGGGAGTAAGGGGCTTTAATATGGAGGTTAGGACTGTAGTACAGAGAATGATGGGCTGTAGTAGGGGAAGTAAGGGGATGTAGTAGGGGGAGTAAAGAGAAGTAG